AGTTCTACAGAGCTGGCTAACTTGAAACTGGATGCGCCAGATGCGAGACTGGCCGTGCGCTGCACCCGTCAAAAATTTAATGAAACCCCTGGTTAGGGAAATGATGCCAGCTTTGGAACACGCTAGCTTTCAGGATTTATGAGATATTTTTGTGTAGAGTAACCTAACAATCCTTTCTGTCTAATAGGATATAGAAGAGGGGTGTCACCTCAAGGTCCGTGGGCCGGATCTGGCCTGTGGGGTGCTTAAATCTGGCCCATGGGGCCGGCCTGGAAGTATCAAAAGGACCAGCCCGTTTTCGGACTTGATGGCCTCCTGCAGCACTCTGCTGGCCAAAAACGAGCCTCGTTGGGCCTCCTCATGGCCCGTTTTTGGTGGGGAGAGTACTGCAGGAGGCATCCGTCCCGTCCCACCACCACCCCATCTCTCCCTGCCGAGAACTACAATCCTCATCCAACCCTAGAAGAAATCCATATGCGTGCCAGAACCCCGAAGGTGACGGGTGATGGCTGGCATGCCCAGAGAGATGACTCTGTGTGCCACTTCCACCATATGTGCCATAGGTTCACCATCACTGCCCTATACCATTGCAGACAAATGGTTGTCCAATCTCTTCTTAAAAACTTCCAGTGTTGGAGGCACCCACAACTTCTGGAGGCTCACAACTTCTGAAGGAAACGATTCAACTCGGACAAGAGCTGCTTACCATTGGTTGTGGCTGAGAAGAAGGGATGTTCGGCTGGTTCATCTGAGCATTTGGCCCAGGTCCCGGCCCAGGTCCTGGCCCGGGACCAGCTCCTGGTCCGGGACCAGGACCCTGCCCTGGCCCTGGCTGTGCATTTCCAGGAATCAGAGATGGGACGCTGGTTTGGCGATGAAGAATTTTCTGGATGACAGAAGAGAGAAAAATAAAATACGCATTTAACAAGGTAAATGGCATCTATGTTCAAGGCACATGGCTCTGCCTCTTATCCCAAGGCTGAAAAAAGGTTGCGAACGTACCAGCGCAATTTCTGGGTCCACAATACGCATCACCACTTGGGCCTGCAGCAAGGCGTAGGCCAGTTGAGGGTTTTGCAAGAGCATACTCCGCGCCTCCTGAGGACTGTTCTGGACACACAACTGGAAAAAACAGAAAAGACGGGTGTCAGCATTCCAAGGAATGCACCCATTGAAAGCAGAACTCCGAGGCAGGTGAGATTCCTCAGAACTCAATTCATTGGGTGCATCATAGTGACACAACTGGTGAAAACCGACTCTGAACGTTGCCGCGGTTTTCACCTAATTAAAAAGTGAAAGTCCCCCCCCCACCTTTTCCCCAAGTCTCATCAGTCACATTGTCCAATCGAGGTGCTGGCCGGTTGCTTGGTTATTCTACTCCTCCTCCCTGTTGGAATGTCCTTGGTTCCCACAGGAAAACTTTCTGTTTCGACTACAAAACCCCAGTTATCTATTTTTCCCTCCTTCCTGTCCCTTCTTCTGCCTTGTGGCAACCCTGGAGCCTCAAAGATGGCCTTAGCCAGCTTCGCTTCAGGGTTGACAAGGAGAATCTAGAACTGTGATGGCGAACCTATGGCACGTGTGCCAGAGATGGCATGCAGAGCCCTCTCTGCTGGCACGCGTGCCGTCGCCCCAGGTCAGATCTCTGTGGTGTTTCTTTTATGAGCTTCTGTTTCCCTGCAAACAACGAAACAGAAGCTCACGAAAGAAAAAGATCTCACCTCTTGCCACACTGCCAGTGTTGGGATGCCCGGCCTGCCACCGGCTAACCGGCCTTCGGGCCTCTGTATGTCTGTGCATGCAAACAAGCATGTCTGTGCATGCAACTAACAAGACAATCAAGCAAGGGCCACCAACCTTCATTTGCTTCATCAGTTCAAACATCTGTTCAGGAGGCAGGCTGGCCACCGCCCTGCTGATGGACTCAGGAGCATCTTCAGGGTTGACGGGGTCTCCGTAGGGTGATTCTATGATGGGAGCACCAGTGCCCAGGCCTAGCAGAGAAAGAGAAGAAAACCTCAGGGCCAGAGATCGTAGATCACACGTGCTGTAAACAAGCACAGAATCAACAGCCAGTATGTCACACCCTCCCCTCTCCAATCTTTTGATGGGCCTTCAGACTCACTCTTGAGTTCCTCCTTGTTCTTCTCACTGGCTGCATTGTCCACTCGCAAGGCTCTTCCACTAAATTCTCGCCCGTTGAGATTCCGCATGGCACTGAGTGCGGTTTCTTGGTCTTGATACTCACAGAAGCCATAGCCTTTCGGTTTGCCTGTTTCTCGGTCATATACCAATCTGGTTGGCAGAGCAGAGAAAGCCAAGATAGTTATGCCAAAGGAGACAACTGGGTGGAATGTTTCAGAGAAAGAGAGAGAGGGGGGAGGGGGGGAGGGAGAGAGAGAGAGAGGAGGGGAGGGAAGGGGAGAGGGAGGGAGGGGGAGAGGGGTGCTGGTAATGAGAACATTATAATTAAAACTAATTGATAACCCCATCCCACAAAGGAAACTATTTTATATATGTTGGACTGCATGCCTAAGCCAGAGTAGGGTCTCTCCAGATGTTGCAGTAGAGCAGGGGTCAGCAACCTGAGGCTCTGGAACCGCATGTGGCTCTTTCACCCTTCTGCTGTCCCCTTTCTCTACAGTTTTTAAATCCTCCAAAATGAACCGTGTTTCAGGGAATTCCGAAAGCTTCTCACCGGAAACTGACCACAGGTCCAACCTCTGAGAAGATGTCTTTTAGCTGTTCCTCTGTGGCTTCGTAAGGGATGTTGCCCACTATAGGAGAAAGACAGGAGCAGGTTATCAGTATCTTTGGGCATATCTGCAATTAGGCAGGGACTTTTTCAGGTAGATATTAAGGCAGTCTTTCCAACCTGATGCTTTTTACCGGTATGATTCCTATAAAATCAGCAATCTTATCGCATTAGTCATTTGTTGCAGTTAATGCTATTCATTCATTCATTGTGATTCATTAGCCACCAATTCCAGTGGTACAAAACTAATAAAACCACAAAATACGGACTAAAAAAAAGTCAAACTTAAGCCCAGACTTAAAATAATCTTACAGTCAAACAAAAATCAAACCAAAGATCTGATCAAAGAATAATACATTGATCCCAGGCCCGATACCAAACACCAGTTTGATATACCAGTTAAAAGTGACATCTATCACTGTTGCTAAATTATGCTGTTGCATTATAAAACCTACGTAGGAGTGGAAAAAATATTGAAGACAAGAACTTCTCTAAAGAGACTTTGAGGATTCAATTTACATAAGTTTAAGATACTTTACAGCAGAAAGAGTGAAATGCCAATATCATAATACTGCCCAGCCCTATACAGCAGCAATGAAAAAGCAAACAGATTTGAAGTGTTGAAAACCTATGTGCGCCAATGATAAGCAACAGGCAGAAGACCATAACATATACACGTATATCTATCTATAAATCTAATCTATACATATGTATATGTGTGAAAAAATGTGTGTGTGTGTGTGTATGTATATGTTTGTGTGTGTATGGCTATATAGATGAATGGATGGATGATAGATAGATGATTGATAGAGATAGATAGATAGATAGATAGATAGAGAGAGAGAGATGGATGATAGAGATAGATGGATGGATGGATGGATAGGATGGATGATAGATGGATGGATGATAGATGATTGATATATATAGAGATATGGATGGATGATGATAGAGAGAGTGAGATGGATGGATGGATGGATGGATGGATGATAGATGATAGAGAGATGGATGGATGGATGGATGATTGATAGAGATAGATATAGATAGATAGATAGATAGATATAGATGGATGGATGGATGATAGATGATTGATATATATAGAGATATGGATGGATGGATGATAGAGAGAGTGAGATGGATGGATGGATTGGATGGATGGATGATAGATGATAGAGAGATGGATGGATGGATGGATAGATGATTGATAGAGATAGATATAGATAGATAGATAGATAGATAGATAGATAGATAGATAGATATAGATGGATGGATGGATGATAGATGATTGATATATATACAGGGATGGATGGATGGATGATAGAGAGAGAGAGATGGATGGATGGATGATAAGATAGATGATTGATAGAGAGAGAGAGATGGATGGATAGATGGATGATAGATGATTGATATAGATAGATAGATGGATGGATGGATGATAGATGATTGATAAGAGAGATGGATGGATGGATGATAGATAATTGATAGAGATAGAAGTATAGAGTATAGATATATATGTAAATATGATAACATATGTATGTTATGATCTTCTGCCTATTGCTTATCATTGGTGATATACACACACATACACCCACGCCCACACCCAAAAGCTGGTTTAAAAATATACACGCAAGAGGACAATTTTAAGAAGCGATGTGAAAGCTACATGCATTTCCAGAAAGGCTGTGCAACACGTTTCAAGCGCTGATGCCTGGGAGCGATGGGCACTGGAGTTTAAGCCTCATCACCCCCCTCCCCTCCTCCCCCACCCCCACAAAATTAGCCAGAGAGTCCTAGGACCCACAGAGGGGACTACATTCCCCCCCCCTCATATATCCCTCAACCAGATAGCCCGGCTGGAGGGGGGGGCGGGCGATGATGGGGCTTGTAGTCCCCCTTTGGTCAGCCACGGGCGGGCCAAGGCGGCGTCGAGAGGCTCCCTGAGGCGACAGGGAGGCTGACGGGTCGCAGCACCTCACCGAACACGGAGCGCAGAGACCGATCCACCGCGGGGTCCCGCACTGACAAACCCGCCATCTTCCTCGCCTACCGCCCACCGCGGCTTTCAAGCCAGCCGCGGACTTCCGGTCCGACTTCCGGTCCGCCGCCAAAATACGCCACCTCTAGCTTCGTTTCTTTCTTCTTCTTTTTTTTTAAAATGGGGTCCAACCCTTTTCTCCTTCCCTCCCGGAAAGCCCTGGCGCTGAAACTTGAGTTCCGTTTCCGCGCTGATTCCGTTGCTCTTCCGTGAACGATTGACCGAAGATGGAAGCCGGAGCTTCGTCCTCTGGCGGCACCGCGGCTCTCGTTACCGAGGCTCAGTTTATTCAGCTTTTCAGGTGTGGAGGGCAGGTTCCTAGGAATACAGCGCGCTGGGATGCAAGGTTTTTTTTTATACAGGAAGGTCTTATTTCCCTAAAATCGCTTCATTTCAGTCTGTCCCCCCATCTATCTTTTATCTCTCTCCTTCCCTCCTTATCTTTTCTCTATCATTTCTCTATTTCTCTCTTCTCTCTCATTATCTATCTATCTATCTATCTATCTATCTATCTATCTATCTATCTATCTATTGTCATCTCTATCTACCTACTTACCTACCTACCTATCATTTCTCTCTTTCTCTCTCTCCTGTCTGTCTGTCTGTCTGTCTGTCTGTCTATCTATCTATCTATCTATCTATCTATCTATCTATCTATCTATCTCATCTACCTACCTACCTACCATCTCTTTATTATCTATCTCTCTTATCGTCTCTCTCTCCTATCAATATCTATCTATCCATCCATCCATCCATCCATCCATCCATCCATCCATCCATCCATCCATCCATCCATCCATCTATCTATCTATCTATCTATCTATCTATCTATCGTCATCTCTCCCTACCTATCTATCTACCTACCAGTACCTACCTACCTATCATCTATCATCTTTCTATCACTCTCGTATCTTCTCTCTCTCCTATCTATCTATCTATCTATCTACCTACCTACCTACCTACCTACCTACCTACCATCATCTCTCTCTCTCTTCTCTCTCTCTTCTCTCTCTCTTGTCTTATCTCACTCTCTCTTCTATCTCTATATATCCACGCACCCCACCCCGTCCGTCCATCCATCCATCCATTCATCCATCCAAACTTTCCTGTTTTGTGGCTATGCCATGAACAGTTTCCTTGTAAAGTCTTGATGATTTTTCAGGCTGGCCACTTGGTGAATGTTGGTGAAGCCAGATCCATTTTCTCTATGTTGTTGACTTCATGTGGTATCGCCCAGAGATTAAAACAAAAAAAAACCCAAAAACCAGTCTTTCTTGCATTCTGTTTTGGACCTTCTCTGTAGCAATACCGGTGGCAATAACGTTCTGTGGGGATCCTCACAAATGGTTTGATATTACAGAAAACACTTGACAAGAGAAGGGATTCTGAACTCCCTTTATCGAGTGCAAAAACTTCCTGATGGGACCACAGCGTTGCCTATACTTGGCCAAAGCTTCACAGCGCAGCACCTTCAACAACTCAAGGAGAGCATACCACATGGAAAGGCCTGCGCTCTGACATGGATACATGTAAGTCAAGCTTTTGACTTACGTAAGTCAGGTTTTTTGCCTAACTCTAGATTTATCTCTGAGGGATGTGGTGGCTCAGTGGCTAAGACGCTGAGCTTGTTGATCAAAAGGTCGGCAGTTCAGTGGTTCAAATCCCTAGTGCTGCGTAACGGAGTGAGCTCCCGTTACTTGTCCCGGCTTCTGCCAACCTAGCAGTTAGAAAGCACGTAAAAAATGCAAGTAGAAAAATAGGGACCACCTTTGGTAGGAAGGTAACAGCATTCTGTGCGCCTTTGGCGTTTAGTCATGCCGGCCACATGACCACGGAGACATCTTCGGACAGCGCTGGCTCTTTGGCTTTGAAACGGAGATGAGCACCGCCCCCTAGAGTCGGAAACGACTAGCACATATGTGCAAGGGGAATCTTTACCTTTACCTTTAGATTTATCTCTGGAGCTGGAAATAAATACAAGTAGTTCCAGAGTTAAAACAGTTCATTTAAGGACTGTTCAAAGGTAGAACAGCACTTTAAAAAGTGACTTATGACTGTTTTTCACACTTATGACTGTAGCAGCATTCCTCATGGCCATGTGATCAAAATTCAGATGCTGGGTGAGCTTCTTTGATGTAGCTGTGGGTTTGGATCGGAACTAATGCTGCCACTGTCTTAACTGTTCTGATATCAAAGAAGGGCTGGTTTTGTGTAAGGTAACACTTTGGGAACCACTGGGGTTTTAATTAACACATTCAAAGTAGTCTGCCTTTTGAACCTTTCTGTCATAAGCATCCAAAAGGCTAAAACATACGATGAACGGTTGCAGGAACTGGGCCTGGCTAGTCTAGTGAAGAGAAGGACCAGTGGAGACAATGATAGCAGTCTTCCAGTATTTGAGGGGCTGCCCTAGAGAGGAGGGGGTCAACCTATTTTCCAAAGCACCTGAAGGCCAGACAAGGAATAATGGATGGAAACTGATCAAGGAGAGATTCAATCTAGAGATAAGGAGGAATTTTCTGACAGAACAATCAATGGAACAGCTTGCATTCAGAAGTTGTGGGAGCTTCATTACTGGAAGCTTTCAAGAAGAGAGTGGACAGCCATCTGTCAGAAATGGTATAGGTCTCCTCCTTGAGAAGGGGTTTGGATCAGATGATTTACAGGTCTCTTCCAACTCTGTCATTCGATCCCATCCCATCCCATCCCCATTCCCATTCCATTCTATTCTACTCCTAATATTCTATTCTATTCCATTCCATTCCATTCCATTCCATTGCACTCCACATACAGCTCAGATGTATAGCTAAGATAACCAAGCTCAGAGAGCACCTACGACCCCATTTAGAAAGGATTTGAAACAGAAGCAAGCTCTCTGTGTATCACCGAGGAAACTGACCATTTCTTTTTCTTTCTTAGAATCCTATTCCTTCGAAAGCAGTTATGGTACGTTCACCCATTCAGAAGCTGCACAGTGAGCTACAACACCTCATGTCAATCCATGGTGCTGCGTGGTCAGAAGAGCTAGAGAAAGATCTGCCACGGTCCTGGCAGAGGCATGGGGACCTTGTTCTTCTAAGCGAGGATTGCTTTAGGGCAAAGCAGTGGAGAGAATTTGGTAAAGAGTCATTTACTGAGTTGGGTGGCTATAGAAATCAGTCAATCACACAAACAAATAAATTGCAAATATACCGTATTTTTCAGAGTATAAGACGCAGCTTAGTTTTTGGGGATGAAAATAGGGGGGGGGGGAAATCTGCCTACCAGGTATTTATCTGGCTAGCGTCCTTAGTCTGGTCAGCTTCAGCACATTAGTTCGATGGTTTTGAGCCCACGTGCATGCTTTTTATCCCCTGGTTGGGGATAAAAAACAGCTTCTAAAGCACAGTTGATCGTGGGAGAGAGAAGCAATGAGAAAAGCAGGCGAAGCGAGGAAGATCGCTTCACTCACTAGCGCCTCGTTAGGGCTGAAAAAAAGCTTAGAAAAAGCTACATTCGGAGTATAAATCACACCCAAATTTTCAGCCTCTTTGGGGGAGGGGAAGTGGGTCTTATACTCTGAAAAATACGGTAATTTTACAGTGGGGGATTCCTGTTCATCAAAACCAAACTTTTATTCCTTATCTAAGATAGGTATCTTTGTAGAAAGAAACTGTGGGGAAGTGCAAGTTTAAAATAACTAGAAATGCAATTCTATTAATTCGGGTCTGAACAGAGGCAGGTTTTTTTTTCCTCTCCCATCATACATGTTAATTTCCTTTCCTTGTTAAGGTTAATATTTGTTAGTTACATAGCAGCGACTTGGTGCTCAGGGTTTCACGAAGATCTGGCATGCTGGATCTTTATTGCATGGGATTTACATAACAAAAGAAAGAGGAGGAAGAGATGAAAACATGGGGCAACCGGAGAAGAAGATGCAATAATTGCAATTATACATACTTGGGCTGAATTACAATTGTTGGGCTTCATAATTGCCCTAAGCCATGGTTTATTTAACCATAGTTTGTTGAATAAACCACTCTGGGCTAAAATTCCAACCACACATTAAACCAATATGCAACAAAGCACATTATAGCTGAATACGTATTCAGCAGAGACAGTACATAAGAACAAAGCAGATAATGTCCAGATGGGTGATAGAAGTCAATCTGCATTGATCTCCCAAAAGATAAACGGAGTTAGTACTTGAATGTGAGACCACAATGAAATATAAGAACTGCCATCTGAAGATTAGATTGCTCTTTACTCATCTGATGATATGGTTTCTTTTAGAAACGTACTGCTGTAATAAAATACCATATGTTGATTCTTAAACATGTCCCAATTGGTTTTGGTGTAAATCAGGGGTCGGCAACCTTAAACACTCAAAGAGCCACGAAGGTCCTAACCGGAAGCTCCCCCATTCAATTCTGGAGCTGACCAGAAGTCCAGTTCCCCCACCATAGCGTCTCCTCCTAGCATGGTGTCCTTTTTCCTCTACCTGTCCTAACCGAAAGCCCTATCAACTGTGGAGCCGACTGGCGACAGGGAGCTGCAGCAGAGGGATGAAAGAGCCACATGCGGCTCCAGAGCCGCGGGTTGCTGACTCCTGGTGTAACTGAACAACACTGAAATAATGGCCTTTGCTCTCTGTTCTAGGCCAAGGACTTTGGCAGGTGGTTGCTGATGCTTTGGGGGCCCGGCGTTTAGCCAAACGGGGCCGAGTGCAGCCAGATTTGTTTCGCTCGCCTGCTGTGACCCTGTTGCTGGGTGAGGATGGTTGGGTTGAACAAGTAGACAATGGAATCAGGTAAGGGAGAAAAGGTTCTTTACTCCTCATTTCTTCATTTACACTTGAATGATGCAATCACACGAAAGATCCTAGACTCGTGATGGTGAACCTATGGCACGCATGCCCGAAGTGGCACGTGGAGACATGTTGCCTAGTGTGTGCGGTGTTGCCTGTTTCTCTTGTGGGTTTCTGGCATGCATGTGCACACGACGATCAGCTGGCTTTTGTGCGTGCGGCAATGCTGGAAACCGGAAGAGCTGATCTTCCATTTTCTGGTGTGAGCATGTGCGCCGACCAGCTGATGGGCAGCAGCAATCGGAAGACTTACTTGCTGGCACGCATGCGCACACTGGAAACTGTACCTTATCTGGTGTGTGCATGCCCCCTGGGCAGTTCCTCGTCCTAATTGCGGCCCTGATTAGTGCTTGTTCATGCGCACGCAGCATTCCCTTTTTGGCACTTGGTGCCACATGCACTTATGCACGTGCTCCCTTTTCCGCCATCACTGTCCTAGACCAGGAGTCAGCAACCTGCGGCTCTGGAGCTGCATGTGGCTCTTTCACCCCTCTGCTGCGGCTCCCTGTCACTCAAAATATGCGTCACAACCGCCAATGTGCGACACCCGCTGCCACGTGATTTATTGAGCTTTTCAAACCCCGGTGGGCCAACCATGGATAAATCCAAGAAAAGAAAATTTTCAGAAGAAAACAGAACTTTTAATTCAACTACATAGGCTAGTTTTGTGGCCGCTCAAGAAATAGTCAGGCACGGGAAGGGTTTTGTGGCTCCCGGTGTTTTCTTTTCTGTGGGAAACGGGTCCAAATGGCTCTTTGAGTGTTAAAGGTTGCAGACCCCCATCCTAGACATTCAAGTTTAATCGAGAAAGTTGGTGATGTCCACTAGTGCAGGACATAAAATAATGGTCTTAAATTACAGGAAAGCAGATTCTGCTTGAAAGTTAGATGAAATTTTTTTTTCGTGATTGAGTATTTTGACTGTGGGAACAAGCTAGATTTCCTGTGGCGGAGATCTTAAAGCAGATAAGGCCTGTTAAAAGTGCCACATTGTTTTTCCTATTCATGTACAGTAATTTTCATTTCCCACACTTTATGCACGTTTTAGTCTGGATATGAAGTTATCTGATTGTTGCTAGTCCCTTTGGGAATTCTGTTGCTGGACAGGACAGAAAGATCTCTGATAAGTTGATATGTTTCCAAAACAAGCCAAGATGAACATCTGCTTGGTTAATCTGGGCTGTCAATTTTTTGGCTTCCATCAGGGCCATGAGCCCTGCAGGCTAGCAAAGCTTAGCGTTAGGCTATAAGTATACCTCTTGGATATACTCTTTATCATTTACTTTATACCTCTTGGGAAATTTAGGGTGGATATCTAGTCTCCTGCATCTGTGTTTTTCTCCACAGATACACCTTCGATGTGACCCAGTGCATGCTGTCTCCAGGAAACATAACTGAGAAGCTACGGATAGCCTCCATGTTATGCACAGGAGAAGTAGTGGTGGATCTTTATGCTGGTAAATACTGCCTTTTTAATATGTATGTATGTATGTATGTATGTATGTATGTATGTATGTATGTATGTATGTATATATGTATGTATGTATGTATATATATTAGCTCCTGGATTGGAGCTGAAAGGTGAAAAGGAGCAGAATGCCCCCTCCCACTTGTTGGGGTAGACCTTATATATATATATATATAAGCTAATTTTTTCATATCCCACCTCGTGCTTCTAACCATTGATAGAATCTGTTCCATGTATCACAATATTCTGTCTCTTCTTTGTCTTTTGTCTTTGACTTTGTCTTTTATTTTTAACATTAGTCTATGCATTTTATTATCTCCTCCTCTGAAGGGGTGTTTTCATTCTTCCACTGCTGTGCATACACCATTCTTGCAGCAGTCAGGATATGTAATATTAGGTGTATTGTCCCCTTGTCATAGCCATCTGATATAATGCCTAATAGAAATAATTCTGGCTTGAACTCTATATGTTGTCTAACCATTTTTTTCTAACCACATATGAATTTGTATCCAAAATTCCCTTGCTTTTTTACAGGTCCACCACATGTGGTAGTATGTGCCTGGCATTTTTTTACATTTCCAACAGTAAAGGTAAAGGTAAAGGTTCCCCTCGCACATATGTGCTAGTCATTCCCAACTCTAGGGGGCGGTGCTCATCTCTGTTTCAAAGCCAAAGAGCCAGCGCTGTCCAAAGACATCTCCGTGGTCATGTGGCCAGCATGACTAAACGCCAAAGGTGCACGGAACGCTGTTACCTTCCCACCAAAGATGGTCCCTATTTTTCTCCTTGCATTTTTTACATGCTTTCGAACTGCTAGATTGGCGGAAGCTGGGACAAGTAATGGGAGCTCACCCCGTTATACGCGGCACTAGGGATTCAAACTGCTGAACTGCCGACCTTTCGATCGACAAGCTCAGCGTCTTAGCCACTGAGCCACTGTGTTTCCAACAGTACTGCCTTGATAATAGCAGAAACTCTCCTGCTGAAATTCTCGTTGGGGTACAAAGTGTTTCTGAATCTCAAGGACTCTTTTGAATGTAGAACCCATCTTCACCCAAAAGAGGGTGAAAATTTGGGTGCGTCTTATACACCGAATGTAGCCGGCCCCCACCCTTTGGCCTCTGCCTCCCAGCAATTTACCTCCTTGCAGCAAACAGCAAACAGACCGTTTCAGCTTCAGCACAGCCTGATTAGCACAAGCAGCTGATTGTCGGTTGGATCGGCCTCCCGACCCTCATCTGTTTCAGGCTGCAGGGATTGCCATTGCCTGTTGGCACGTGGGCCTCTGCTGTTTGCTGCAAGGAGGCAAATTGCTGGGAGGCAGAGACAGATTTTTTTTTCGTGTTTTTCTTCCCCAAAAAGGTAGGCATGTCTTATATGCCGAAAAATACAGTAGCTCAGACAAACACCTAGGATTTGTACTTTGCCTATAGAGCCAGCTATGACCCCTACATGGCCCCATGGGAGTCTGACAACAGCCAATAAAATATGTGTTCTTGCAAAGGAACAGGAAGCTCAAGTTCAAAGCCCAAGAGAAGTTATAAAAAAAAAAAAACCCACTCTCAACTCCAGGTGGTCAGCTGCACCAGAGAACCATGTGCTTGGTGGCTCTGTTCATCATTAAACCACCTTTTCCAATCAGCCTCCATGTTTCCAGTGTCTTTCTCCCAGCTTGGAACCGAACCAGATGGATATTTCTTCCCACACTGCTTAAGCAAAGCGTAGAGGGATGTCAAATCAAGGATAATGTTAACGGCATGGACACTGAGCTCATTTTGTCTGTCTTCTCTTCTTCAGGGATTGGCTATTTCACTCTGCCTTACTTAGTCCATGCCGGTGCTGCCTTTGTCCACGCTTGTGAGTGGAACCCCCACGCTGTGGAAGCTCTACGGAGGAACCTGCGACTGAATGCCGTTGAGGATCGTTGCCACGTTCACCAGGGGGATAATAGGAAGGTGAGTAGAAAAGGCCTCAAAATGGACCCCGAAACTTTGTCTGCCTGAAACTTTCAAGAGCTGCTGCTGTTCTGAGTAGAAACTGAGCTAGGAAGACAAATCAATGCGTTGATTTGAGAAAATGTTTTCTCTGCTCTCTCTCTCTCTCTCTCTCCTTGGCTGGAGGTGGAACTACGGGGTGTGGCTGACAGAGTAAACCTGGGATTGATCCCGATGTCGGAGGAAGGGTGGCCAATCGCTTGCCGGGTCTTGAGAAAGGATGTCGGAGGCGTCCTTCACATACACCAAAACGTTGAGGCTTTCTCAGGAAAGGCACTCGAATTGTCCCAGCAACCGGAGCAGAAACAGTCACCCGAGCAGGGTCCCGCCCAAGCAATATCCAATGGCCGAGACGATCGAGTAACTCTGAAGGACCACAATGTTCTCCAGAACGCTGGACAATCATTCACGGCTTCAGCCAAACAAGAATGGAAGGGCTGGGCAGAAGTCACAGCGACACGGATCCAGTATTTGCTTCAGGATCTGGATAGGAAACCTTGGAAAACCCAAATCTTGCATCTTGAACATGTGAAATCGTACGCCCCTCATGTAGACCATCTAGTCTTGGATCTAGATTGCCGGCCGCTTGAGTAGCATCTGGAGAATGTCTTCTCTCCGACTCAGGGGATCTTGGAAGAAGCAGGGTATGGGTATCGCATTCTGGATCTTCTTTGCGAGCTGCTTCCCCACTTTCTGAATCCCGAAGTTAGTGGCTGGAAGTGTCACATAATTTTGGGGTTTTTTGTGAATGCAGTCAGAACTTTAATGAATCCTTGAACCCTGGCAGGGTTCTGAACATAAGAAGGTGATAGAAGTGATTTGGGCAGCTAGTTGATGCCTGCTGGGTTCTACAAAGTAAATAGCAATAGCACCTAGACTTATATACCGCTTTACAGTGCTTTACAGCCTTATCTAAGCGGTTTACAGAGTCAGCATTTTGCCCCCAACAATCTGGGTCCTCATTTTATTCACCTCGGAAGGATGGAAGGCTGAGTCAACCTTGAGCCTGGTGAGATTTGAACTGCCAAGTTGCAGGCAGCCGGCAGTCAGCAGAAGTAGCCTGCAGTACTGCCCTCCAACCACAGCGCCACCATCAATCCTTCCAGCCTTCTTCCCGAACTATACTATTTGCTGGAGATTCTACATCCTATCGAATAACTTTTGGCAACCATAGATTTAACATGGTTCTTTCCTACAGTGTCTGCAAAAAAGAACGTAGGAATCGTGGGAAAGATTACAAACCACATGAGCTAAATCCAGCCATTTGCACACAAAAACATTTGTTATTGCCATTATTGGTTGAATAATCCAAAATAGTTGGGTTCATGCATTAAATTAAGCCGCAAACCATTGCATTCGGCTCACATGGTTAGATTCGCACAACAGTTAGATTAAAAACAAGTCCATAATCATGGTTTAATTGGCCTTGCACCACGAGATGAGCGGCATATAAATTTGATAAATAAACAAGAAGCCAGCCAAACGTGGTTTTCCAGTGAACAGAAGGAGGACTAGTTCAAGCAATCATTAATAGTTTGATTCTAATTCCTTCTGTCATTTTGTGAATGAGGAAGATAATAGAGTAGAATGGAATGGAATGGAATAGAATGAAATAGACTATTAGGAGTAGAATGGAATGGAATGGAATGGAATGGAATGAAATTAGAATAGAATAGAATAGAATAGAATAGAATAGAATAGAATAGAATAGAATAGATAGAATAGAATATAGAATAGAATAGAATAGAATAGAATAGAATAGAATAGAATAGAATTCTTTATTGGCCAAGTGTGATTGGACACACAAGGAATTTGTCTTGGTGCATATGCTCTCAGTGTACATAAAAAGACAAGATACATTCGTCAAGAATCATAAGGTACAACACTTAATGATAGTCATAGGGTACAAATAAGCAATCAAATCATACTAGGAAACAGTCAATATAAATCGTAAGGATTCAAGCCACAAAGTTACAGTCATACAGTCATAAGTGGAAGGAGATGGGTGATGGGAACGATGAGAAGATTAATAGTAGTGCAGACTTAGTAAATAGTTTGCATGGTAAAACTGATCTTTGGGGCAGCCTTAATCTAATTTTTATCTTCCCCTGAGATAACAATAGAAGCTGTGAACACCTAGTTAGGGCGATGTCTGTTTAGTTTAAAGGGTTGTGGTTATTGCATTTTTTAAAAGAATCAGAGCTCAGAGCTAATACCCAGGGAAAAGAAGTGAGTCATATGTTTGTTCTGTAGGTTACTACCTTTATTACCTTTTCATACCAGGTTTGAACTAGAGCGTGGTTAGATTAAAAGTCTTCAGTCACCGATATGCAAAAAAGGCAATATTATAATAGAAGTACTGTGTGTTACTGGATTTTTGAGCGAAATATCAATGGAATTTGTATTTGTAACTCTAATGAAGAAAGTTGGAAGTTACTCTTATATTTTTTTTCTTATTCCTTGCACTTCCCCTCTTTTTCTCCCATTTCCTTCCCCCCGCCCCCTCCCCGGGTTTTTATTAAATGTCTACAGAAGGTAAAACCTAAAATATATACAGGACCAAAGATATCAAGAGGAAAATAAAGCTACTTGTGCTTTCAAGCCATTTGCAAACCAATTATTCCAGCTATTTTATCTCCTAGTGAGCGTGGTGGGCATTGCTGCTGAAGAAACTCTATAAACATGATTATTATTCCTGCTTTTGGTGACCGTCTTAGCTTTGCATTTTGGAGCAGGTCAGCCCTGCTTCCTGTCTTACTCTGGACCAGCGCAAAACAGAACCGGAGTGTAGGCATTGCGTTCTGACATTTTAATAGACTTTTAGACCTTTTTTTTAAAGATCCTGGGCTGGATTTGCATACAGTCCCACCCCATCTTTACCTGTGGGAAACCTGTGAGAGGGACATGAAGGTACCTTTTCTTGGGCTTCCCTCTGGGTTAACATCTGCACCTCTGGTTTTAAAAGGCATGTAGAATTAGCCGATTGCAGAGATAGCTCAGCCCGGATTATATCTCACATGTTTACTTTACTTTACTTTACTTTTATTAGACTTCTATACTGCCCTTCTCCCGAAGGACTCAGGGCGGTGTACAGCCATATTAAAACACATAAAATTTACAAAATTTAAAAACCATTAAAATCAAATATACAAAAATTTGGCCCACAAATTAAAAACTAACATACACCCATTAAAATAAACCCATGTTTATACTTTCTAGATAAATTCTCTGGTGTCATGTACCGGCCATACATAACTATATTAAAAAAAAAATCTTTTTTGAGATGATCACACAATAGAAGGGCAAAGAGAGAGAAGGAGAAGAGGAGGAGGAGGAATGGGGAAGAGGAAAGATGGAGGAGGAGAAGAAGAAGAGGAGCAGATGGAGGAGAAGAAGAGAAGGAAGAGGAAAAAGGAGAGAGATGGAGGAGGAGGAGGAGAAAAATATGGGGAAGAGAAGAACAAGAGAGGAGGAGCAGATGGAGATGAAAGAAGGATGAGGAAAAGGAAGAAGAGAAGGGAGGAGAGGAGGAGGAGGAGAGAAAAAAGACGAGAGGAAGGAGAAGATGGAGAAGAAAGAATGACAAGATGAAAAGTAAAGGAGAAGAGAAGGAAGGCGAGGAAGAGATGGAGGAGGAAGAGAAGAGATGGAGAAGAAGAGAAGAACGAGGAAAAGAAGAGAGGAGGGGCAGATGGAGAAGAAAGGACAAGGAAAAGAAGAAAGAAGAGGAGGAGAGAAAAAAAGAGGAAGGAGACGATGGAGAAGAAAGAAGGACGACGAAAAGTAAAGGAGAAGAGAAGGAAGGAGAGGAAGAGATGGAGGAGGAAGAGAAGAGATGGAGAAGAGAAGAACAAGAGGAAAAGGAGGAGGAGCAGATGAGAAGAAGAAAAAAGGACGAGGAAAAGAAGAAGAGAAAAGGAGAGGAGGAGAGGAGAGAAAAAGACGAGGAAAGGAAGAAGACGAAAGGAGAAGAAAGGAGGAGAAAAAAAAGAAAGGAGAGGAGAAGGAAGGAGAGACGACGAAAAGTAAAGGAGAAGAGAAGGAAGGAGAGGAAGAGATGGAAGAGGAAGAGATGGAGAAGAAGAAAAGAACAAGAGGAAAAGCAGAGAAAGAAGAAGAGGAGGAGAAGGAGAAGAGGAAAGAAGAAGAAAACGGGGGGGGAGGGAAGAGGAACGGAGGCCCCCCAAAAGGACGCCGCGCGTAACGGAGACATCGACGCGATCGAGGCCGGCAGCGCCACCTCCTTCCTTTCCCGAGCGGAGCGCGTCGCCTTTAAGCCGGGGACTCCGCCTCGGGTCAAGGCGTGTTTTTCGGGGCTGCTGCTCCTGCTCGTCCCGGACTCGCGCGGAGAGATCCTCGCGAGGGAGCCGGCGAGTTCCCCGGGCGCGGCGGGTTGCAGGTACCCCCAAAATCTCTCCAACTCCTGGCGCGCTCGGAGTTGGAGCTCCGGACTTTTCCAAAGCAGGCGCCTTTGCCCGCTTTCTCCTCCTTCCTCCTCTTCCTCCTCCTCCTCCTCGGACCAGCCCTTCTTCAGCGGCTGCTTTTTCTGTCCCGGATCTGGCTTTGTCCGGAGAGCCTGTGCAGGAGGGTCTTTGGAAACGAAGCCCGGGTGGGATGGGAGAACCTTTCTTTCCAACTTGACTTTTGGACCGGTTCCGAAACGGGCTGGAAGGAGCGCGGTCTCCAAATCTGACTTGGGGTGCCAAGCCAAGGGGTGGTGGGTGGCTAACTTTCGTTGGGTGAATTCTTCGGGGGGTGATTAGTTTAGCGAAGTGAAGCTTAGCAGGTTGTGGGGGGCAGTGTGTGTGTGTTCTTCACCAACTTCCCAAGAAGGTGAGTATTTCTTCCATGAAAGTCATTGCAGGAAACACGGTTTCAGCATTTATATATTTTTAAAAAATCCTTCTCTTCCTCCCCCCCCTCCCCTTCCAAATATTTTTGGGTATAACCTGGTTCCTGGACTAAAATTTAGACATGGGTTTAGAATTCAGAGATGGGTTTAGAATTTAGAGATGGATTTAGAATTTAGAGATGGGTTTAGAATTTAGACAAAGGTTTAGAATTTAGTGATGGATTTAGAAAATTTAGTGATGGGTTAGAATTTAGAGATGGTTTAAAATTTAGAAAAGGGTTTAGAATTTAGAGATGGGTTTAGAATATAGAGATGGGTTTAAAATTTTGACAAGGGTTTAGAATTTAGATAAGTTTAGAATTCAGAGGGGTTTAGAATTTAGAGATGGGTTTAGAATTTAGAGATGGGTTTAGAATTTAGACAAAGGTTTAGAATTTAGTGATGGATTTAGTTTAAAATTTAGAGATGGGTTTAGAATTTAGACAAGGGTTTAAAATTTAGACAAGGGTTTAGAATTTAGAGATGGGTTTAGAATATAGAGATGGGTTTAGAATTTAGACAAAGGTTTAGAATTTAGTGATGGGTTTAGAATTTAGAGATGGGTTTAAAATTTAGAAAAGGGTTTAGAATTTAGAGGGTTTAGAATTAGAGATGGGTTTAGAATATAGAGATGGGTTTAGAATTTAGAAAGGTTTAAATTTAGATGGTTTTTAAAATTTAGAGATGGGTTTAGAATTTAGAGATGGGTTTAAAATTTAGACAAGGGTTTAGAATTTAGAGATGGGTTTAGAATTTAGAGATGGGTTTAGAATTTAGACAAAGGTTTAGAATTTAGTGATGGTTTAGAATTTAGAGATGGGTTTAAATTTAGAAAAGTTTTAGAATTTAGAGGGTTTAGAATTTAGAGATGGGTTTAGAATTTAGAGATGGGTTTAGAATTTAGACAAAGTTAGAATTTAGTGATGGATTTAGTTTAAAATTTATGGGTTTAGAATTTAGAGATGGGTTTCGAATTTAGATAATGGTTTAGAATTTAGACGGGTTTAGAATTTAGAGATGGATTTAAAATTTAGACAAGGGTTTAGAATTTAGAGATGGGTTATTTAAAGATTTGAATTTAGACAAGGTTTTAGAATTTAGACAATTTGTGTTTGGAAACTTGACTATAACTCTATTTGTTAACAATCACAAATTGTACCATTAACGATATACATGTATACATACAGCAGGTGGAAATTAAATTTCAGCCTTGTCTCTGACACTGCTTTGGAGTTTATGACTGAGATCCCTTGAGCCAGCACACAAATCGTGATTAGTGAAGCATAATGGCTAATTTTGCCATGCCAACCGGAATGTGTAAGGGCTTAGTGTAATTTATTTAGAGAGTATGATTTATGTGGCGCATGGAGCATGTCTTGGAAAAACAGTGTCAGGTCAACTGTACTTTTGGAAATGTGTGGTTTGGAGCGGGGGCGGAGAAATTGTATTGGATGACCTCAAGCAGGTATTTATGCTCTGTCTGAATTGAGGGGACTTTGTGCATGCACAGGAGCTGCAGCTTAACATTCTACGAGTGAGACTAATTTATTAATTTTCATCCTGCCTTTATTATTTTTTAAATAAATAACTCAAGGTTGTGAATACACACAATACTCCCCCCCTCCTATTTTCCCGACAAAAACAATCCTGTGAGGTTGGCTGGACTGGGAGAGAGGGACAGCCCCAAAGTTTACCCAGTCAGTTTTCATGCTTAGGCAGGACTAGAACTCACAATCTCCTGGTTTCAAGGACAGCACCTTAAACCCAGTAAGCTTGAGCGCCGGAACAATTTAGTTAACTATGTATTGGTTTGCTAGTATGCAGGTTAATATAGTGCTGTGATGGCGAACCGTAGTGCCGTGGTGGCACACGGGAGCCATATCAGTGGGCATGCGAACTCAGCTCCGCCAGCTGATTTTCGGACCTTCTGGACCCACTAAAAGTAGGGAAATAGGCTGTTTCCTGCCTCCGGAAGGCCTGGGGGTGTGTGGGGAAGGCCCGTTTTTTTGCTCTCCCCAGGCTCCAGAGCCTCTCTAGGAGCCTGGGGAGGGTGAAAATGGCCTTCCCCATCTCCCTGGAGGCCCTCCGGAGGCCGGAAATGGCCCATTTGTCAATTTACCGGAAGTCGGCAAACGGGCTGTATCTGGCCTCCAGACGGCTTCCGGGGGGATGGAGAAGGCCATTTTCGCCCTCCCCAGGTTCCTAGAGAGGCTCTGTTCTCTCTCTATATATATACACACACTGCTCAAGAAAATAAAGGGAACACAAGCAGAAAACATCAGAGATCTGAATGAAAGAAATAGCCTTATTAAATACTTTGTTCTTTACATACAATAGTTTATACACTGCTCAAACATCTAAAGGGAACACAAAACTACTGTATGTAAAGAACAAAGTATTTAATAAGGCTATTTCATTCATTCAGATCTCGGATGTCTTCTGCTTGTGTTCCCTTTATTTTTTTGAGCAGTATACTATTATTCCCCTCTTATTTCTATCTCTATTTTAACTTTTTTTTCCATGTCACCGTAATATTCAAAGACGTTTTTTTTCTATCTTCCATCTTTCACCTGCTTTGTTATTCATATTTCCCTTATTTAGTTCTTCGCATCTAATTATACTAGAGTTTCATCCTTCATCCTTTCATTGTTCGGTGTTTCCATGTACACTTCTAGTACCAATCACAATCATTTAAACATTTTTTTGTTGTTGTTAGTTGCGAAGTCGTGTCCGACCCATCGCGACCCCATGGACAATGTTCCTCCAGGCCTTCCTGTCCTCTACCATCCTCTGGAGTCCATTTAAGCTCACGCCGACTGCTTCAGTGACTCCATCCAGCCACCTCGTTCTGTGCCGTCCCTTCTTCTTTTGCCCTCAATCTTTCCCAGCATTAGGCTCTTCTCCAGCAAGTCGTTCCTTTTCATTAGGTGGCCAAAGTATTTGAGTTTCATCTTCAGGATCTGCTCTTCTAGAGAGCAGTCAGGGTTGATCTCCTCTAGGACTGACCGGTTGGATCGCCTTGCAGTCCAAGGGACTATAGAGTCAATTTCTTCATGTTCTTTCCAATCCGTGGAGCTGAGTGTGTGTTTGTGTGTTGCCTTTGTGTTGTGCTGTCCCTTTTAGAGAGTGGAGAAAAAAAAGAGGTGGAGGCATTTTCCTGGACTCTCGAGCACTGTTTGTCTTTCGGGAAGCCAGAACAGAGCATTTTCTTAACTGCTCTTCCTCCTTTCCTGAGAAAGCCTGGTGACAGCTGAACTGGGAAGTATGTGCAGGTCAAAGATAAACACTGTACTGTATGCCTCACTCTGGGCTGGAGATAGTGAGGAAGTGGAAGCCAAATTCAGAAAGAGCTTCTTGAACCGTCGGATATATATTTTCTCTTTTTGCATTCGGTTCAAAATTTGAGGCTCAAGGCAGAATTTACGACTTGGTGTGAAGATGTTTGATGGGCGAAGATGGGTAGAAAATGCTCGTAATTTGCAAATGTTTTGCACGTAGGAAAAAATGCCATTGGTGCCTGCCAGTTTATTTTTTACTTTTTAAAAGAATTTTTATTGAGCAATTTTTTTCATTTTATAGCACAATTTCCATCTTTACAGCACTTCGATATCAGTACACCTCATATGTACGTACAGGTTATTTCCAATGTTTTCGCCCCCCCGAGAGGCTCGAGGAAAGCCTCTGGAACCCGGGGAGGGCAAAAACGACACCCACCCACCCCCGCCGTGATGCAGGAGGCTGACTAGGCTACGCCCACCATGGCCACTCCCACCCAGCAACCCGGCAGAGAAGCCCTTGCTAAAATTTTTGAAGCCCACCCTGGCTGTTTTCCACCAATCTTCCTCTTAGTTTTGGAAAGTAAAATGTCAACAGTCACCCTGATGTAATTTGGCACACCTAAATGCCAACTTTTCGTAGGGGAGCGGGTTTAGCTGGCTCATTTGAAGTCTGTTCGAATCCCGTCTTCGCTTTATGAGCTTTATTAAGTCCTCGCAAGAAGTTCAAATGCTAAACCTTTGGACTTTTCCCTCCAAGTTATAGTCTTAACACACAATTTTGTGAAGATGCAACTGGAGAAGGCTGAGAAACTTTGACTCGGCTAGAAGCAAAAAATATTCTCTTAGCTGGTTAAACCTCATTTTTTCCCACCACCTCTTAGCGACTCGGGGTTGAGATGGGCAGGGTCCCTGATTCGTATTTGGACTGCTTGTTATCTCTTTGGAAACTGCTTCAACAGGTCTGGGCATTTGGCTTCTCTGCCAGCCATGGGAGCACAGCCCATAATTCTCATTCTGACTGCCAGTCTCTTTTAAGAGTTGTGCCCGAAGCTGGCTTATTGAAGTCAGGCGGCTTGGCAGTTGAAATGGAATGTTGGGTTGAAGAAAGACCAAAAAAAAAAAAAAAGGATGCGGATAAACTGGATTTATTTTTTCTTTGGGCATTTTCTTGGCATCTGATTGTCAGAAAACAGAAGGTTGGTTGGTTAAGTTGAGTCAAGAATGCTTGGAAGACATTGATGGCATCACAAAGTCTGAGAAGGGATCTTATTTATTTATTTATTTATTTATTTATTTATTTATTTATTTATTTATTTATTTATTTATTTATTTATTTATTTATTTATTTATTTATTCAATTTATATGCCGCCCTTCTCTGGAGACTCAGGGCAGCTTACAATGCATTTAAAAAAGAAAAAACCATTATAAAAACATTTAAAAATTAAACCATTAAAACCCATTCACACCATTCATGGCCGGATCTCGCCAGATCGCAACAGCGAGATCAACGGCCCCAGGCCTGCCGGAAAAGCCAGGTCTTCACCGCTTTTCGGAAGGCCAATAGGGTGGGGGTGGTCCGGATCACAGGAGGTAACTGGTTCCAGAGAGCCGGGGCAGCCACAGAGAAGGCCCTTCCCCGCGGGCCCGCCAGCCGGCATTGTTTAGCTGATGGGACCCGGAGGAGACCAACTCTGTGGGATCTTACCGGTCGCTGGGAGTTATGCGGTAGAAGGCGGTCTCGAAGATAGCCTGGCCCTGAGCCATGTAGGGCTTTAAAGGTAATAACCAACACCTTGAATGAAATGTAATGAAACGTTTGCAAGCTCAGAGAGCACCAAGAAGCCTGCACTACTATTACTCCTCCTCCTCCTCCTCCTCCTCCTCCTCCTCCTCCTCCTCCTCAAACCATACTCCCTTCTAGCATGCTGATGTTACCTAGTTGGATAATAAAATGCCTGCCAGCTCAGAGAACACCAAGGACCCCACAGTTCTCCTCCTCCCCCTCTTCACTCTACAAACCCTGCTCCCTTCTAGCACTGATGATGTTACCAAGTTGGGTCATGAAACGTCTGCCGGAAAACAACCAAGCTCTGAGAGCAACCAAGGACCCCTCATTTCTCCTTTATCAACACTGCAAAGTCTGCTTGGAACGGGAGGCTGGGAATAGACCCGTTTTCAGGTCTGCCCTAGCTGGGTTCACACATTATACGGGGAGCCACAAACACCGAATGCTGAAATCTTTTGCTGATGGGGTTTCTTTGTTTTTTTGGCTCAGGGATTTATAAGAATCAAGTTCATAGGGCTGGGAAAGAACCTACTTTTGACTTGGTCACTCCTCTGGATCTCTCTTCTCTATATTACTGCATGAATAGTAGAATACTGCATGATGAGCCTTGGTGGCACAGCAGACTAAAGTGCGGTTAAGTAGCACCAGCTGCCTGCAATTGCTGCAAGTTCAAATCTCACCAGGCTCAAGGTTGACTCAGCCTTCCATCCTTTCGAGGTAGGTAAAATGAGGACCCGGATTCTGGGGGCAATAAGCTGACTTTGTATAAAAAAGAACACCGCTTGGGGGGCCCCCAAAAGCCCTACTAAGCAGGTATATACAAAAGTATGAAGGCTATTGCTTAACGCATTGTAAGCCGCCCTGAGTCTCCGGAGAAGGGCGGCATATAAATTGAACCAATAAATAAATAAATAGTTACTTAATTTGCTAATGTTCCAATCTCTCCTGTGCATCGAATGTCATGTCCTAGAAATCCGTCAAGGGCATGAATTTTTTTTACTAGTTTCAAATTCCAAGGTTCCCAGGAACCTTCCTATTTTAAAGAAGATAGCTATTTATACTCTAGCTGTTATCTGGCAGAGCAGGATTCTCCAGTTTTAAAACTTGGTCGTCCATGTCCCTTGGACTTCTATTATTTCCCCCACTCCCCAGCAAATAATACACAATCTGTGTTTATATTTGAATCTCATCGGAAGGAAGTTTCTCTTCCTTGTTCCCACACTTTGAATCCTATTGGCTCACAGCAATCTCAGTCACAATGGTGATGTAACTGAAAAGTGGCTTTGGGGAATGAAAAGACGGGTGCGATACAAGGGAAGAAAAAAGATTTATTGAAGTAGGCGGTGGACGCAGCCTTAAATCCCTCAAAATGCCCCAAGAGAGAGACAGCAGGAGCAGCAGAAAAGTATGTAGATCACAGGTGAATTACAGTAGGTTCTGACCAGTTCTGGAGAACCGGTAGCGGAAATTTTGAATAGTTTGGAGAACCGGTAGTAAAAATTCTAACTGGCCCTGCCCCCATCTATTCTCTGCCTCCCAAGCCCCAGCTGATCAAGAGGAAATGGGGATTTTGCAGTAACCTTCCCCTGGATTGGGGAGGGAATGGAGATTTTACAGTATCCTTCCCCTGGAGTGGGGTAGGAATGGAGATTTTACAGTATCCTTCCCCTGCCATACCCACCAAGCCATGCCATGCCCACCAAGCCACATCCACAGAACCGGTAGTAAAAAAATTTTGAAACCCACCACTGATGTAGATGTCTTCTTAGAGAAGAGATGGGAAAGAATTGGAGCATGGCTGGCTGGCATGTAGTCTATGCAGCAATAGTTGGTTGCAAATCCCGTCGCTACCGGTTCGCTCGTGGGCACGTGTGACATTTCTGCGTATGCTTTTTTTCAGTGCCGTTGGTTCCCAGGCTGTAAAGGAGATGGTCGTTGTATTTTCAGACATGCAAGACACTCTGGAATACTCTATATCAATGGTGGTGAACTTATGATGCGCTTGCCAGATGTGGCACCCAGAGCCCTCTCTGTGGGCGCAGGTGCCATCGCCCCAGCTCTGTTTCGGGTCTCTGCTGCGCATGCGCGCGTGTCTCATGCTGGCCAGCTGATCTTCGGGTCTCTGCTGCGCATGTGTGGGGTGCGTGCACATGCATGAGATGCACCTGCCCCTTGCAGTTTGAACACTCGGTGCCTACAAGGTTCGCCATTGCTGCTCTATATACTCTTGTATACAACGGGGTCTATTCAATCATGTGTCAGGCGTGGAAGCCATCTTTTGCATTGGGCCTTCTGGCCTGTCACATTTAGTACTGTGGGGAACTGGGAAGGGGGGATTGTACGGAACAAGGGAGATATGTAGTCATAATAACATTCCTTTCTCAGAGAGTCAAGGACATCTTGCCCTGCACCTGGAGGGGTGTGACTGGGAGGCATCTCCAGTTGGGATGGTTCTTTGATTGGACCACGTGATGGACATGTAGCTGTTGGGCAGGGACTTGAACTTTCCTTTGGGTGGGGAAAACCTGGAAGCTTTCAGATTTGGGTTTTCCCAGACGTGCCAATATGACAACTCTAATAAAATGGAACTTTGAGGAACTTCTAGCCTCGGAATCTTCTGTTGTGGCCCATCAGCGGCCTGTGCAGTTAGTAGCTGATTCCGACAGCGAGGAGGCTGGTGTGGTGCTGTGCCAGCAGCCTGTGCAGTTGGCACTCGAGTTAGACAATTAGGAGGCTGGAGAAGATGTGGTGCCAGAAGCGGGATTCAGCCAGGGCCTTCAGAACTTCCAGAAGCTCCCATAAGTGAAGAGGAAGAAGAGGAGGAGCATCTTCTTGATGCACAAGTGCACAGAGCTGCGAAAAGGCAGGAGTGGCTCCTCAGGAGGAGGTCTCCTCGAGAGTAAGGCTTGGGGCTAATTGGCCACTCCCCTAGCCTATTTAAGGAAGGACGACGATTTGCAGGAAACAACTTCGTTCAAATTCCTTCGCGTCTTGATTCCAGAAAACGTTTGATTTGGCTCTTGTTTCTCTCATCAGTTTTCCTGCAAATTGCTTCTGGGCATTCTGCCAACCACAGTAAGATTACGGTTATCTGAAATACTGTGCCTCAGAACTGAGTTATTATTCTTTGAATTCTTGTCGGCTGTTAATGAAGTTTAGAAAAGACTGATTTATTGTACTTGTGTTTGAACAACTACAAAGAAAGCTCATTAGTAGTCTTTAATTAGTAAATTAAGGTTTGTATGGACTTTGTGTGTGCTGCGTTCTTTTGGATCCGTAGCTGGGGCAGAACAACTTCTTTCGTTGGGGGTGTTACTTGGAACCCTGACACCATGGCCAATGTTAAGAGTTGTGGACTTCAACTCCCAGAATTCTCCAGCCAGTATGGTCATTTCACCTAATGCACATTCATATTTGAGTTACCAAATGAACTTTGGGATGGAGTAGAGATGTAGTTGATGTAGCCCTATAATAAAGTAGAATTTGCTCATCTGGTCATGTTTCCTGTCTGCTCTACCTGGGAAAGCTGATGAACTAGGAGAGTTTTGCAATGGAGTGATTTATAACAAGGACCGCCACTTATTTTTAGCTCTTGTTTTTACCCGTATATTTTTCAATTTATATATTTTCTAGATTTGGGAGGTCAAGCCCTGAAGGCAAGACAAAGGAGTGGGTTTCCAGTTATGGCGATGGAGGCGATAGACCTGTCTTTTCTCTCAGAGGTAGAGAGGGACTTCATCATTCGGGTTCTCCAGAGAGATGAAGAACTGCGGAAAGTGGAAGAGAGAAGAATTAGGTAAGGAGTTGGCCAACACGGGATCATTGCCCAAGGCTCTTGAGGCTGATAAGGGGGGAAGAGGGACCCCTGAGTGTGTTGCAGTTCTCAGTTTAGTGGGAACTAAGTGGGAAGCAGATGGTCCTTGGGGGTAGGAACCTCTCCTGTAGAAGATCTACCCTACTCTTGTTCTTCAGAAGAGCTTGCCTCTTTGGTGAGCCAAGTGGTCCAGTCCAAGACCAGATTGTCATCTTCTTCCAAGCCCCATGCAATGCCGTGAGGCTCTTTCTTCTACCCAGGCTGAATCAACCAACATCTGGGTCTCAAATCAGATGAGCCATATGAGGAGCCACATCTGGTCTCATCTGGAGGCTCCAACTGGTGCAGAGTGCAGCCGCGCGGGTGGTGATGGGAGTGATATGGCGCTCCCATGTAACACCTCTCCTGCGCGAGCTGCACTGGCTCCCGGTGGTCTTCCGGGTGCGCTTCAAGGTTTTGGTCACCACCTTTAGAGCGCTCCATGGCTCGGGACCTGGTTACTTACGGGACCGCCTGCTACCACAAACAGCCTCCCACCGGCCGGTACGCTCTCATAGAGAGGGGCTCCTCCGAGTGCCGTCGGCCAAACAGTGTCGACTGGCGGCCCCTAGGGGGAGGGCCTTCTCTGTGGGGGCACCTACTATCTGGAACGAGCTCCCCCCGGAGATACGAAGGACCCCGGATCTGTGCACGTTCCGTCGCGCTCTCAAGTCCTTTTTATTCCACCAAGCTGGCCTGGCCTAATTTTCCCCCTTTTTTCTTTGTTCTTTTTATAATATACATTTTAATTTGTTTTTAAATTATTGGGGTGTTTTAAATTTGTCTTGGGCCAAATTGTTTAATTCGGTTTTATTCTGCTTTTAAATTTTGTATTTATGTGTTTTACTTTGTGGCTGTTCACTGCCCTGGGTCCTTCGGGAGTAGGGCGGTATATAAATCTAATAAAACAAACAAACAAACAAACAAACAAACAAACAAACAAACAAACAGAGGAGGTCAACCCTTTTCCCTCTTCTTCTCTCTTTCTGCCCTTCCTCCCAACAGGCGCCTGAAGAATGAGTTGCTGGAGATCCGGAGGAAAGGGGCCAAGAGGGGCAGCCAGCGGTACAGCGAGCGGACCTGCGCTCGTTGCCAGCAGAGCCTGGGACGGGTCAACCCAAAAGCCAACACCTGCCGGGATTGCAATCACCTGGTTTGTCGCGACTGCCGCTCCTACGAAGCCGACAGCTGTTGGCGCTGCAAAGTTTGTGCCAAGGAGGCGTAAGTCTGCTCCCCTGCTTTGCACCTTTGCGACTGGGGTTGTGTTCTGACCCAGCTCCCCAAACACTCTGTCGTTAAATCAATGATTCCTTTATTAGCAACGCCAGCAGCCCCGGCAAAAAGTTTCTCTCTCACTGCAGTCTAACAAGTCTGTCCGTCAGGGAGGTGAATAGTTATCTGCCACATCTATTCATCTCCACCCCCTGCCTTTTATCTCCAGAGCTAGGATGGGGCTTTGCTAGCAGCGGTGGCTCTTCCGTCCCAAGGATCAGCCCATAGATTTCCGCTGCTCTCCTCTCCTCTGCCTTCTGCGTATCCATGCATCAGACACTGGACCCAGCTGTTCCTCCCCTTCCTCATCAGCCACTCCAGACCTGGGGGCTGTTGACTCTCCATCTGAGGGTTGACGGACGGCCTAGGCTCCGCCTCTGTCTCTCTCTCTGACAGCTCCATTCCCTCTTCCCCCTCGGAGCTCTCAGGTTGCCTTGATGCTGACCCTGACTCCCACACCTCCACTTCCTCCTCTGATTTGGCTGCTGGAGGGGCCGGCGGCCGATAGGCCACAACAGGTTGTATATACCTTGGGATTCTGTACACAACTGGGACTATCCAACCATGGCCAATGTTAAGACGTGTGGACTTCAACTCCCAGAATTCCCCAGCCAGCCTGGTTCATTTCACCTAATTCTCATTCGTACTTGAGTTACCCAAATGGACTTTGGGATGGGGGTGGGGATTCACGTTCTCAGAAGTGATTGCTGTTCTCTTCCCTGTTTTCCCATCTGCAGGGAGCTAAAGAAAGCCACCGGAGACTGGTTCTATGACCAAAGAATGCATCGCTTTGCTCCTCGACTGGGCAGTGACATCATCCGCATGTCTCTTCGGCGCAAACCACAGGGTGGGGCATCTTTGTCGGAAGGCAACTTCTGTCTCTGGTTTTTAATTAGAACAAACGTTCAGCAGTTTCCAAGGCTAAGTAGTTATAATTTCTCCCTGCCAATTCCTTCAAATGCCCTGAGATATTTTCCAAATAGAGTTCAGGATGTTGTCAACTGGATTACCCCATATGCAATCTGGTTTTGCAGCATTTACTGTCTAGACCAGGGTTTCTCAACTGTTGGCAACTTTTACGGTACGTGGACTTCTCAAATTTCCCAGCCGGAATCCAGGCATCTTAAGATGACCAAGTTTGAGAAACGCTGGTCTAGATATTAGTCCTATTTCTTATCTGGCAAATATCCAGTTTTGATCCAGTTAGAATCTGCCCATCTCTCCTTCCTTGCTCACATCATCGATGGCTTCCTTATGTGGGTCTAGGACAGGTGTCTGCAACCTGCGGCTCCTGAGCCACATGTGGCTCTTTGGGCCCTCTGCTGTGGCTCCTTGTTGGATGATCCCACCACTGGCTGGCCCCTTCCCTCGCCCTCCCCTCCCAGTAACTCCTCGCTTATGGTGGGATCATCTGATAGGGAGCCAGAGCAAGGGCCCCAAAGAGCCTCATGCGGCTCCGGAGCCACAGGTTGCTAACCCCTGTCCTATTCCATCCTTATGCTCCTCCCTACTGAACATTTTTACCCATATCTTGGGGAGGAATCTGAGCAGTTAAATACCTGCAAGTTCAAAGGTTTAAACCATGTATGGGGTAAACTAGTTGTCCAATATGACTGATCTCGGTTGACTCCTCAAGGAGCAGCCGGATATATATTTTTTTTAATTTGATTTATATGCCGCCCTTCTCCGGAGATTCAGGGCGGCTTACAATGTGCTAAGCAATAGCCTTCATACTTTTGTATATTTTTACAAAGTCAGCTTATTGCCCCCACAAACTGGGTCCTCAATTTACCTACCTTAGAAAGTATGGAAGGCTGAGTCAACCTTGAGCCTGGCAAGATTCGAACTTACTAATTGCAGACAGCTGGAGTTAAATTACAATGCATTAGTCTGCTGAGCTATCCAGGCTCCTGGATAGGATATATATTTTGCTTTGCTTTGATCGAGTTTCCAGAAGACAAGTATGTGAGAAGACGAGCATAATTCATTCAATAACCCTAACCTAACCAATTTCATTGTACATACGATGTACAATGACAATAAAGGTTATACTACTATAATGAAACAAACCGTAGCCTAGCATAATGTAAGGCGGGGCTGTAGGTGTGTAACCTTGCCAAATGCAGAGGGTGTGAAAATAAGGGCTTCCTTATTTCCACAACACAGTTGTGGTCAAATTGTGGGGAAGGTTGCATCCTCTGTGGACAGAATCGGAAATGGTTGGTTTGTGGTTGGCTTCGTGAACAGAGTCAATTACAGTTTGGAAACTGGGATTAGAGGCTTAGTGCAAGGTGGGAACCTAGGCAATTTTGGCTTATCCAGGACCCCACATTTAAAGAAGAAGGATTTATTTAAGGTGCTGTTTGGGAACCCAGCCAATTTTGGCTTATTCAGCACTGTCAGGCTTGTCCCAGCTTGGACACTTAGGAAAGAAAGACCCTCGACTCCATTTGAAGCGAAAGGTATACTTTTACTAAAGCCAAGTGGTTACGGCGTAAGCAAAACTGGATCGGACTATTCTGGCGTAAACCCTGCTTTTCCCCCCTTCTCCTGGGCCCTCCCCCCTTGACCAGTTTGTAAGTGTCCAATAGTATTCAAATTAGGTGTTTTGGTAACAGTCTTAATGTTTGGTGCCTTTTTGGTGGACTTTCTCATTCCACTCTTGCGTTCATGTACCTTGGATCCGCCAGCTTGTTCCAGATTGGTACCTCTGGTTTCTCTCATCCTGCCAACCATCCTCCCTACATTCCCATTCTCCCCCCTCCCTGCGTTTATGGCAGGATGCCAGCGAAGCAAGCTGAAGCATTTACGATGGCAGACCTGACATTATCCTATATTTAAATAAGGACTTACGCTGTGTGGTGTCTGTTGTGAAGTTTCCGAAAGATGCCCTAATTAATTCATGAGCCAGAGCCAAACTTCAAAAGAAATACAGTCATTTATTAGGAGCACTATTTCGGCAATATTCGGATGCAGTTAGAACTAATCCCACGTAGATTTACGTTCCCCTATGACCCTGTCTCTCCCCTCCTCCCTGGCTATGTCATAAATCACATTCTCCAATTAACCACTTTGGCTAGCTGTGCAATCCAACACCCTCCTACTGATTGCGGTAAGAAAGCATGTATGGAATGTAGCTTCAGTTAGGGAAATCGATCAGCTCTATCAGTTCTCCCTCCCTCCTACTCATGGCAACTTGAAAGCTTTGCAAGTTGACATCTGTGCTGTATGTTGACACCTCTTTTTCCTCTGGTCATTTAGCTAGCAAAAGAGAGACAACAAGCCAAGTGCTTCTTCAGAAAGCTCAACGCAAGGACCCCAAAAGTGGCTCTGAAGCGCCCCCCAAAAGTCCCCAGCAGCAACGCAAGGAACACAGGTGATTCTTCCTCCCTGCCTCAGGGCTGCGGTGAGATCCATTGTTTTTTTGCACCCATGCTCCAAATGCATGAAATAAAGAGTTCAGCGGGTCTGGGCCATCGTCAGCTCATCATCTGGTTATTCATAGCTGGCTGCAGGAAGCAGATTTAGTATCTTCAGAACCAGGCAGGGGTGAAATGCTACCGGTTTGTACCAGTTCGCACGAACTGGTAGCGGCGGCAGAGGGTGGTTTGGTGAACCGGTAGCGGCGGCAACGCAAGGCTCCGCCCACCTGCCCAGATGTCATTACTTCCTGGTTTTAACCAGGAACTAACCTGTTTTTGACCCTCTGCACACGCGCAGAAGGCTTTGCGCATGCACAGAGGGTCCAAAATCATACGTGATGCGCGCGCGTACTTCCAAACCGGTAGGGAAGGTAAGTAGATTTCCCCCCTGGAACCAGGGTTAATTGTGGGAATTTGAATTGTGCTTTTCTGATCGACAGTTTCCCAGAAAACCCACACCTCAAATTGTCAGGGAAGATTTCATGAATATCACGAGTTATACGGGTGGAATTGGGGAGCCACCATAAAAGGTTTGGAAATTCAACCGAGTCTATCAACCCGTTCTGCATAACGAGTAGAAAAGGAATGGAATCGCATAATAAGAGGTTGCTGGAAAATCATTGCAGATGTAGAAATATCTGCAGAGATTCTCAGTCATCCAGGTCATGGTTGTCGCAAAGATGCTTTTCCAGGAGTCAACTGGACTTTCTTGGTTTTTTTTTCTTTTGAAGACGCTTCGCTTCTCATCTGAGAAGCTTCTTCAGTTCTGACTGAATATTGGGTAATGGAAGGATTTATATTCCTTGCGGACAGCTGGTCCTTTGCATCCTTTTAGAGGGTCCTTGAAGCACTTGGAGGTTTATCTGAGTAGTGCTCCTGGTTCCTGTAGTCTGCAGGTTTTTTTCCTCTGGAAATCCATTCCTCCTCACACACCATTCCAAGAGTGTTCGTCCCAAATTGTATAGCTAAAAGTCTGTAGGGATTCTCAGTCATCCAGGTTATGGTTGTCCCAAAGGTGATTTTTTTCAGGAGGCAGTTGGACTTCCTTGTTTATTCTTCTTTTAAGACATTTCACTTCTCATCCAAGAAGCTTCTTCAGCTCTGAAGTGGGGAATGGAAGGCTTTATACTCCTTGCAGACAGCTGGTCATTTGCATCCTTTTAGAGGGTCCTTGAAGCACTTTGTCCTCAGGGTCACCTGAGTAGTGCAGATGAGAAGCGAAAGGTCTTCAAAAGAAAAAAAAAACCAAGGAAGTCCAGTTGCTTCCTGAAAAAGCACCTTTGGGATGATGCTGTAGAAATAATTCTCTAAAATAATGGACTTGGAAGGGATCTTAGAGGTCTTCTAGTCCAACCCCCTAGGAATAATGGCGGAAATCACAAGTAGATCTTATACTCTTGCACTTTATCAAACCGGTGATGTCGGAACAAAATCAAGGCGTTTACAAATCGGCCATCTTCAATCTACTTCTCTCCAGATGTGGTTAAAGGACAGCTTCCAGCCGCCCCAGCTAATAGGAAGAGATCTGGGAGGGGTAGCTCAGCAGCATGGGTTCTCTGCCCCCTTGACTGATAAAGTTGCACAGAGTTTGTGAACTTGGGTCACGAAGATTTGGATTCTTTTGGCTGCTGATCTAATTAGGTTGTTCTCTTCCAGCTTGATCTCTGATTCCTCTGAGCTACGGGATCCCAAAAGTGACACAGAATCTACTGAGAACATGAGCTTGGATGGCTCGCGCCCAGCCTCTGGTCCCACTTCTACTCGATCTAGGTCAGAAAGATCTCCGACATCTTGTCCGTTACAGTATTTTTCGGACTATAAGACGCACTGGAGTAGAAGGCGCACCAAGATTTCGAAGGGGAAAACAAGAAAAAAAAAAGTTTTTGCCCTCCCCAGTCCCCAGGAGCACTCTACAGGCCTATCAAACCCTCTGCGCATTTATTTTATTTATTTATTTATTTATTTATTTATTTATTTATTTATTTATTTATTCATTTATTCATTCATTCATTCATTCATTCATTCATTCATTCATTCAACTTGTATGCCGCCTTTCTCCGAAGACTCAAGGCGGCTTACAATGCATTTAAAAACCGTATATAAAACATTAAAAGTTAAACCATTAAAAACAATTAAAACCCATTCACACCATTCTTGTGAAAAACTGGCACTCTGCGGGCCTCCCAAACCCCTCACGCATCCCGTTTTTGCCCTCCTCAGCCTCCAGGAGAACTCTGCAGGCCTCCCAAATGCTCTGTGTGTTCCATTTTTGGGAAAAACAGGCCTGTTTTTTGCAAAAACGGGACACGCGGGGCGGGGTTTTGGGAGGCCAAAAATGGCTGTATTCGCTGTATAAGATGCACCAACATTTCCATCCTCTTTTAGGGGAGGGGGAAAAGTGCATCTTATACTCCGAAAAGTACGGTAAATCTTTTGAGGGGTACAAGGAAGATTTGATTAAGCAGGGGCGTGGGACAGACAGAAAGTCTTTATACTCATAATTGTCTCCTGACATAGATAGACTGTGTTCATACCAACTAACCCTAACCCTAACCAACCACTAACATAAAGTAGTGCGATTACTGGTGGTTTAGCAATCTGGTTTCACCTTAATGTAGAATTGCAACCTGGGTTTGTCGTTTAAAATATTGTGCAAACCCATGACTTTGTGTTTTGTTCAGCAAATGATAGCTTTGTGTGAACATAATTGCACTGCAGTTGGATTCCCACGCTGCATTAAACCATTGTAGGGTTTGCTTGTGGCTTAGCGTCTTGGAAACTCGCAAATCACGTCTGAAGACTTTAAAATATTATTCGATCCCATCCAATGAGTTTGGAAGCCACGATTTAGTATTGAACACGATGACCTCACTGTGCATGAGATCAACCACAAATAAAACATTGATTAGTATCTTCTGCAAATAATAGCCATATGTGACTCGATTAATGCATCACGTGATGCTTTAATTATGCAAATTTAAGCAAATCTAAACCTCTTTGTCAGCTCTGTTAGCTGAAAAGGAAGAGCTAGTGATTTTCTTCTCTGTATGTCCTCAAGTACCGTGTTTCCCCGAAAATAAGACCCTGTCTTATATTTTTTAAAACCCCGAAATAAGGGCTTGGCCTTATTTTCGGGGAGGTCTTATTATTTTGGGGTGCGTGGAGCAAGATGGGGCTCCTCTTGCCATCTTACCTGATTTCCAGTTCTGCGTTTAAATATTTTTGGGGAGGGCTTATTTTCGGGGGGAGGCTTATTTTAGCGCATGCGCTCAAAAGCCCGATTGGGCTTATTATCAGGGGATGTCTTATTTTCGGGGAAACAGGGTAGTTACTTTTTAAAGCTCGGTTGCTTCCTTGTTGTGTTATTAGCTTTTTGGTCTTGCAGCTTCATGTCTGGCGTTGTTTTGAATGAATGTCTTGGGATGAGATTATGTTGGGGAAGCAGGAGAAAAATCATGGCAAGAAACCCATAGATCCTTCATGTCCCAAGATAGAATGAGGGCAGTAACCTGATGCTCTGCTTGGAAACATCTGGTTCCCCTAAGAAGCTGAGTCAGATGGACCTCTTGGTTGGATCTAAGAGATTTCACCCTGTGATCTTTGGTTTTTCTTCTTCTTGTTTTTGTAGCCCTCGCCAGGAGAAGACGAATACTCTCAGCCCACCGGGGCCCAAGGTGTCCAGCCTAACCCTTCCTGCTGGCTTTAAGGAGACTCCCCACTCCGATTCAGAAAGCGTATGTTTACTGATGAGCAATTCTGGTGGTCTTCCGTGGAGAGAGAGTGTGTAGGGATATGTTCTGGGGAAGTCAGAAATCTCTTCTTCTCTTCAGATATAGCATCTTCTAAGATGCTGTATCTGAATATTGGAATATGTTGCTTGGGACATGCTTTTGAGTACAATAAAAGCTATTAGGCAGTAGCTGGGACTCACTAGACCGCAACTACACTTGTTAAATAGGGACGCAGTGGCTCGGTGGCTAAGGCACTGAGCTTGCTGATCGAAAGGTTGGTAGTTCAGCAGTTTGAATCCCTAGTACCATGTAACGGGGTGAGCTCCCGTTATTTGTCCCAGCTTCTGTCAACTTAGCAGTTTGAAAGCACGTAAAAAATGCAAGTAGAAAAATAGGGACCACCTTGGGTGGGAAGGTAACAGCATTCCGTGTGCCTTTGGTGTTTAGTCATGCCAGCCACATGACCATGGAGACGTCTTCGGACAGCGCTGGCTCTTCAGCTTTGAAATGGAGATGAGCACCACCCCCTAGAGTCGGGAACGACTAGCACATATGTGCGAGGGGAACCTTTACCTTTATCTTTTACACTTCTTAAACTTTGAATGTGTCTCTGGGCAGTAGATTTGTTTTGCATTTCAGCTTGCGATATACAATGGCATTGACCCAGCTTCTTCTATCATATCAAGTTGAAGAAATTTATAGCAAAGAAAATGTATCTTTGATTATCCATGTAATAACTGCAGCTAGAATCGTATTTGCACAAAATTGGAAAAGTGAAGAGATTCCTGCAGAGGAGAATGCGATTAGGAAAATTTTAGAATGTGCAGAAATGAATAGATTAACACTGGCAATGAAAGGGAAAGAACAAACTGAATACTATATTATACGGGAGCTATTTTATCGATGGTTAGAGGATAAATATGAAACTTAGAAATAAAAGTAGATGAGTGAAATATATTAAGAGCATTGTAATAATATTAGATAAATTATATATTGGTATTAAGTTAAGAATAGATAAAATAATGAATATGGCTGTAAACTTCAACTGTTATTGCACAAAATATTTGTACCCAGACGACACACTGTTTAATGGAAGATGGATTGTTTGTATGTCATCAGTTTGGAGTCATTGGGTTCCCACAAGAGACCTCAGTCCAGCCCCTTCCCCCCACGAATTCCTTTGACCCTTAACTAGCATCAATTTAGCTTTGATCGTCAATCGGATTCTTGTGTAGTAGTGGCATTGATTGACTCTTCAGTCTTTTGAACTCGGCGAGTCTTCCTGTTGATTTGAGCCTGACGCGAGTTGGTTTATTCCCTAGGAAGCCCTCTGGGGGACTCAGAGTGCAGTTTCCGCAGATGAAAATGAAGTCTTGTTCAAAAAAAATCCAAGGAGAATTCAGAGGCCGTCAGGTAAGATAAGAAAGGACTATGCTGGGTAGGTTAAAGAGTTGGGCTTTTAGACTGCCAAAATTTGTGTTCAGCTCCTGAGCCAGCCATCTGTTTTCACTGTCGTTTTTGGGCCAGTTGCTTTTTCACGTCCAGCCCTAACTTCCAGGGTTTTGGAGTGAACGTTGGGTGGGAGGACCTGTGTAAACCAGCCTTCTCCAACATGATGATCTCCAGATGTTGGTATTGAACCCACAACTCTCAATTTTCTTAGAATTCTTTTATAGAATAGAATAGAATAGAATAGAATAGAATAGAATAGAATAGAATTCTTTATTGGCCAAGTGTGATTGGACACACAAGGAATTTGTCTTTGGTGCATATGCTCTTGAATCATGAATTTTAAGATACAACACTTAGTGATAGTCATAGCATACTAAAAAAGCAATCAACATAAATCATACTAGAAAACTAAATAAAACAATATAAATTGTAAAGATACAAGCAACAGTGTTATAGTCATAAGTAGAAAGGAGATAGGTAATAAGAAGGATGAGAAGAATAATAGTACTACATTCTTAGTAAATAGGGTGAATAAATAGAAAGGGTGGGATACCATCATCGTAAATAAGAGGGCTGGTTTTGAGGCCTAGCATATGTCCTTCCTAGCTCCGCGAAGCTAAAATGAGTGGTTTCTCTGACATCTTAACCTATTTTCTACAGAATACACAAAGTCCGTGATTGACCTCCGACCAGAAGATGCGGTCGGTGGAGTTCTGGGAGACAGAAGCAAGTCAGTCCCAGGCCTCAATGTCGAAGCGGTGAGTTTGGAAAGAGAAGACATTTCAAAGTTGTGAGGACATTCCTGAGGAAAATGTAGCCCTCAGTACTGGGCTACGTTCAGACATTGTAGGAAAGCCTCCATGTGGTTTGTAGGCTTAGATTAGAATATCTAGTCATTTTTGCTGGGAAATCAGATTATATGGAAACGAATCTTTGAATTTATTTTCTCCAGTTGGGTGGAGTTTTAAGTTCTAGAATTCTAAACTAGGGCCACGTTGACCAAGGAATTCTTGTCAGGGAATTGAAGTCCAAACCTCTGAAAGGAGGTATATTGGGATGCAGTGGCTCAGTGGCTAAGACGCTGAGCTTGTCGATTGAAAGGTCGGCGGTTCAGTGATTCGAATCCCTAGTGCCGCGTAATGGGGTGAGCTCCCGTTACTTGTCCCAGCTTCTGCCAACCTAGCAGTTCGAAAGCACGTAAAAAATGCAAGTAGAAAAATAGGGACCACCTTTGGTGGGAAGGTAACAGCGTTCCGTGCGCCTTTGGCGTTTAGTCATGCTGGCCACATGACCACGGAGATGTCTTTAGACAGTGCTGGCTCTTCGGCTTTGAAACGGAGATGAGCACTGCCCCCTAGAGTCGGGAACGACTAGAACCTTTACCTTTACCTCTGAAAGGAAACGAAGGAAGTCTGATTTAAAATCTAACCATTTGTAATTAGAACAAACCATGGCTTAATCCCATGAAAGAACTCAGCAGTGATTGCGTTTACTCCATTATTAGCTTTTTAAAAATCTTCCGATGATGAAATAAGGCATCATACTCAGTAAACATTTTTATTGAATTATAAAGTATTATCAAATACAAAATGCAAAGTAAATAGAAAAGCAGTGTGTGGGGGGGAAGGGTTGGAGGAAAAGAGAAGTGAGGAAAGATAAGAAAAAGAAAGGAAAGAAAAATAAGCATTAACTTCCGACTCTCTCTGTTACAGTAAAATAAGGCATTAATATGAAAATAAAAACAAGGCATCACGACCTAGCCCTACCTAACGCTAAGCCGTGAAGCTTGAATAACTGAATAACAAAATTAAGGAAGCCATATCAAGCAGTGGTGAAATTCAAATTTTTTTACTACTGGTTCTATGGGCATAGCTTGGTGGGCGTGGCAGGAGAAGGATCCTGCAAAATCTCCATTCCCACCCCACTCCAGGGGAAGGATCCTGCAAAATCCCCATTCCCTCCCCACTCCTGGGGGAAGGATATTGCAAAATCTCCATTCCCTCCCCACTCTGGGGCCAGCCAGAGGTGGTATTTGCCGGTTCTCCGAACTACTCAAAATTTCTGCTACCGGTTCTCCAGAACCTGTCAGAACCTGCTGAATTTCTCCCCTGATATCAAGACCTAACAAGATCTGTGAAGGCAGCCTTTCTTGTTTGCGAACCATGGTTTTGGGTGAGATGCAAGCCACATAATATCTTGTGAAGATAGTAGCCTTGGATCTTTGCTGGGTCTACAAGATTTGTTGTTGGGAGGAAAGTCACAGCATGCTCAGAGTTCCTCCAGCCATTGCAGAGATACCTATGTGCATCTACGTCTTTTCCTAGGAGGAGGAGGAAGAAGACATAGATAGTTTAGTTGAAATTCATCGGAGAAGGGCGGGCCGAAATAGCATACGCAGTGGTACATCTTTGGTGAGTTTCTCTACTAACAATTTGCGTCATGGACTCTAGAGAAGAGAGCAAATGTGTGCTCCTGATTTCTTGCGTAGTTCAGTGGAGGAAACCCATGTTGGTGAACTAGGGCAGGAGTGAGCTACTAATGACACTTTAACTCAGGGTTTCCCAGCCTTGGCAATGTTAAGATGCAGCACCTGCCAACTCCCAGAATTACCGTCAGCCAACATGGTTGCTTTGGGAAATTCTGGGAGTTGAAGTCCATGCATCTTAACGTGGCCAAGGTTGGGAAATCCTGATCTAAATCAGGGGTGTCAGACTCGATTTCATTGAGGGCCGCATGAGGGTTGTGTTTGGCCTCGGAGGTGGGGTGGGCATGGCCAGGGTGAGCATGGCCAGTTTGATGTCACTCGTGTCAGGGGTGTCAGGGTTCCGACGGATGCCCTAATTAAATCATGAGCCTCAAGCCAAGCTTCAAAAGAAATCCATTATTTATTAGGAGCTTCATCTCAGCACATTCCAGGTGAAGCCAACTCTGACCCCACGAAATTTATGCCCCAATCATTACCCTGTTTCCCCTCTCCCTCCAGGGTGTGTCATCAATCACATTCGCCAATGGAGCAATTTTGCGGATTGTAGAGATCACTCCCCTCCGGCTGCTGTGGGTAACCCTGGCAAACAGCCTTGAGAGAGATATGTCTGGAGTGGGCTCCTGTCTTTGGCTCCCATGCTGCTTCGTCGGTTTCCCATCCCTCTTGCCTATGGCAACTCAAGAGCAGGCCAGGGATGCTTTATGAGTTGACAGGGGGTCTCTCTGGTGGTCCGAGTGCTCTGCCAGCAATAATGGACTCCAGAGCTCCATTTTCAGCTGTGACAGCCTCCTGCCGCCCTCTACCAGGGAAAACATAGCTCAGGGGGGCTGTGTGAGCCCCCTCAAACTCCGTTGTCCCTGGCAGAGGGCGGCAGGAGGCCGTCACAGCTGAAAATGGAGCCTGGGAGGGCCACATGCTGCCCTCCCGAGGTCTGTTTTTGCTGGCAGAGGCACCATGGGCCAGTCTTTTGCTGTTTGTAGGGCGGCCCATGGGCCTTAAGTTTGACACCCTTGATCTATATGTTAGATTCCGATTCCCATATTATCTCTGACCCCTGGTTGGGGTTGACAAGAGTTTCAATCCTGCAATTTTTGGTGGGCCCAGATCGCCTCTTCGGCTTCTCCTTTGGAAAATGGCTTCTTTGTTCCAAGAAAGGGTGGATTTAAAACAGCAGAGATGGGAACAAGGTCGGAGTTGAACAACTCCGGAGGAGCCTGAGTGGCGTAGGAGGCTAATGCCTCCTACTAAGGCAGCATTTAACATCCAGCTGCCTGCAATTACTGCGAGTTCAATTCTCACCAGGCTCAAGGTCGACTCAGCCTTCCATCTTTTCTAAGGTGGGTAAAATGAGGACCCGGTTTGTGGGGGCAATAAGCTGACTTTGTATAAAATATACAAAAGTATGAAGGCTATTGCTTAACGCATTGTAAGCCGCCCTGAGTCTCCGGAGAAGGGCAGCATATAAAAATAAAATAAAAAAACAAACAAAAAAACTGATCAATGAGGCTGCGGATAAAAATTACGCAGGGAGTGTTAACTATAATTCTAAACTTTTGTTTATAATTTTTATAATTTTTATTCTCTCTCTCCTGATTTTCATAGAGCACTCTGGGAAGCATGGTCAGCATTTACAGCGGGGCAGGTGACTTTGGTAACATCAGCGTCACGGGGGAGATCGCTTTCTCCTTGAGCTACGAAGAAAAAACGCAGGCCTTTTTTATCCATGTGAAGGAGTGCCGCCACCTGGCATATGCTGACGAAGCCAAGAAGCGCTCCAACCCGTACGTTGGGCAAGGGGCTGCAATGGATGGGGGCAGGGTTGCTGGGATGGGCATCATTTACCTTTCAACGAAGTTACGAGACCAGGTGTAATTGTTGTCTCCAGAATTGGCTTTTAGGCCCAGCCTTCAGCCAAGTTTGGACAATGTGCTACTTGGGATTGTAGGTTTCATGCCCCGTGAGCATGAATCTGTGGGGGAAGATGAGCTGGAACCTGAGCTGACAGAGATTGAGGAGGTGGCTTTGTTGGCTTCGGAGGAAAATGGGGAAGGCCGGGGCCTTTCAGGATTACGACAACTTGTAGACAGAGAGGAACAGGGACAGGATGAACATGAGAGACACAGCTCAGGCGATGAGCAAGGACCACCCCCTCCTGATCCGAGAACACAGAGAGTGGAGAGAAGGCGAGAACAGCGCAGACTGAGCAGGCTACTTGGGAGAAGAGTGCCCCGCCTATCTTCACAAGGCACACCTGGGGAATGAGATTTAAGGAGACACCATGGAAAGGGACCTTTGTTGGGAACAAATGCTGAGTTCCTGAAGTGTTGTGTGCCGAGGTTTGAACTTCCCAAGAGTTCTTGCATTCTTTCTGGCTTTCTGGACTAATTACCGTATTTTTCAGATTATAAAATGCTCCGGACTGTATTTACAGGAGGAAAATAAGGAAAAAAAAAAGTTTTTGGCCTCCGCACATTGTGTTTCCGCCCTTCCTGGCCTCCAAATGCAGTGCTCTGCACGCCCCATTTTTGCCAAAAATGGGCCCGTTTTTGGTCTACAGAGTGCTTCTGGGAGCCCAGGAGGGCAAAAACGTGATGCACGGTTTGGGAGCCCAAAAATGGGACGTGCGGAGCACTACAGAGTGCTTCTGGGGGCTGGGGAGGGCGAAAATGCGACACACGGAGGGTTCGGGAGGCCAGACAGGCCCGTATTCGGTCTATAAGATGCACCAAAATTTTCACCCACTTTTACGAGGAGTGGGGGGAGTAAATCTTATACTCTGAAAAATACGGCAACTGGATCCTTTGCTTCCTTGATTTGCCTTGCTGGATTTATTGCTGTGCAGCCATGGTGTACACAGTGCTGGGCTGGACTATTTGCAGCCAGAGGCTGCTTGAGGTGTGTATGGGTGTTTGTCATCACTTTGCTCTGGGACTTGCCAGAACCGTGGGAACGTTTAGGGAAATTTGGAGCAATAAAGGGGCGGTTTGAACTGCCAGCTGCCCCTATTATCTCTGTGCCGTGCCCCGGGTCATCACAGTAGGTGCTTCTTGTACTGGGAGAATCAGCTGTGTTTGTAATCCATGATTTCTATCCATGCTATCTATCTATGGTAGATGAATGTAACTGGTTGTGATGTATTCATCGAACCATGGCTTATGTGAACTAGGGCAGTGTATTCCGCAGTGTTGCTTCAAAATGAACCTTAAAACGTGGCTCTGCCAGTTGGCCTGGGCTCCAAATGAGGCTTTGTCACCCTGGGGGCATTATTGGATGAAAGATATGATCCCAGCTCCACTCCGTTATATCGCCCCTGCTGTCTTAGCTATTTCTTCATTAATTCTATATTAACGTTATAGTTACTGTTTTACTGTTCTAACCTTTGGCAGTATTATTTTTATTCGGATTGCAAGCTACCCAGAGTTGTGCGACGGTGAGATGGGCAGCATATAAATTTAATGAATAATAAATAAATAAACTCCTGGGAGATGTTAGTCTGAGTATGAATCTTTTTCTCCGGGTCTCTTGCAGATATGTGAAGACATATCTTTTGCCAGACAAATCTCGTCAAGGCAAGCGAAAAACTACCATCAAACGTAGCACCGTCAATCCCCTTTACAACGAATTGCTAAAGGTTTGTGTGTTTGTGTGTGTGAGTGTTAGACTCTTCCCTTCCCTTCCCTTCCCTTCCCTTCCCTTCCCTTCTCTACCCTACCCTACCCTACCCTACCTACCCTACCCTACCCTACCCTACCCTACCCTACCCTACTGTAACCTACCCATGGACTTGCAAAACCCCTCACCTTTAGCTAGTCAATGGCTTGGGATGAAGACAAGCTTGTTTCCAAGTCAAGTATTTTGTCCAGCTTTCAAAAAAGAGGCTCGCATTTTTGAGAGGCTGCTAGTGAAAACTCTTCTTTTTGTTTCATCTTGTCACAGTACGAGATCCAGAAGTCTCTTCTGTTGACCAGAACTTTACAGTTCTCTGTTTGGCATCATGACCGCTTTGGACGGAATCACTTCTTGGGCGAGGTGGATATCCCGATGGATGCCTGGAATTTCGACAGCCAGTTGGAAGAGTGTCTTCCCCTACATGGCAAGGTCAGTTGAGTCTGTCATGGTTCCTATCCTTTTGCGGTCAAAGTAACGTAGATCTTGGTTGTGTTTCTGGAAGATACCATATTTTTCGGAGTATAAGACGCACATTAGTTTTTGGGGAGGAAAACAAGAAAAAAAAATTCTGCCTCTGCCTACCAGCATCCATCGATATTCATCTGGCTAGCATCTTTGCAGCAAACAGCAAACAGCCTGGTTAGCTTCAGTACGTTATCGCAGCCTGATTTAGCACAAACAGCTGATTGGCGGTTGGATCGGCCTCCCGGAATACCGCCAATCAGCTGTTCCAGACTGCAGGGATCGCCAGAGCCCATCGCCGCCTCCGCCAATCCCCGCCACCTGGAACCGACTGAAAATTCAACGCATGGAGGCCACAAACGGGGCGTGTGGAGGCCAAAAATGCGACATGCGGAGGTGCGATTGGCGACGATGTGCTGTGGTGATCCCCACAGCCTGGAACAGGTCTAAAACGGGGTGTGTGGAGGCTGAAAACGTGATGCGCAGAGGCCAAAAATGGCCGAAGGGTGGGGGCTGGCGGGTGGGTGAGTCTTCGGCAACATTCAGTGTATAAGACATGCCGTAATTTTCACCCATTTTGGGGGGAGGGAAGTGTGTCTTATACTCAGAAAAGTACAGTATTTATACAATGGATTTTCAGAGTCACTCGCTCTATTTAGATGTAAAAAAAAAAAACCTGTCCAACAATGTTAGTAGCCCTCAGCAGCCTTTTGGGGCACAAGTAGGCCTGGTTCTCTCACAAAATGGCAGCCATGAGAAGCATGGCCAATTCATGCTAAAGGTTACCCAACTAAATATTAACTGACACGGTGATCATTTTTGTAGATCTCGTTTTTTCTACGTGTTTCACTTTTCTTCTTTATACTGTAACTACTATTCTAATAGCAAATCCTTCATCAAAGTTATTGCATTACGTTCTTGATTAAATGATCTTTCCATTGATATATAATTTTATGATACTACTCAAAAAAAAAAGTGGCGTTAGAAAATACACTTTTCCCAAAAGGTTTCCACAATTTTGGCCACTACTGTAGTAAGATTGTAAACTGAGACAAAGTTCACTTAACAACTGTCTCGCTTAGCAACAGAAATGTTGGGCTCAATTGTGGTCGTAAATCAAGACTACCAATAGTCATTTTTGAGAGAAAAGAGAGAAACAAGGAATGAGGTAATGTAATGGCTCTCATCAAATTTAGAGGAGAAATCTGATTGGGCTCTTCATTTCCCTTCTGCACGGAGCATACTTTGAAATCAAACTGCTCCTGAATTCATTTGGCACAATGCACACCAAAAAGTTTCCACAATTTTGGCCACTACTGTAGTTTTACTTACTGTTCATCTGAAAGTGCCAACTTCCGTCCAGTCATTTGAATAATTGGAACGGGAAAGACCGGTTTGAATAATTCTTCGACTTGTTTTTCTGATCATTTAGTTTTGAGTCTTTTGCTGCCAAACCAGTTTTGTCACTGCAGAGTCAGAATGACAAGGCTTAGTTTAACAGTTTTGATTCTAAATTCAGACAAGAATTATTATTTTTTTTGGTGCCTTCAAAATCTTTCTAATTGCTCCAATTTATTTATTTATTGGTTCGATTTATTGGTTCTTCTCCGGAGACTCAGGGCGGCTTACAATGCGTTAAGCAATAGCCTTCATACTTTTTGTATATACCTGCTTAGTAGGGCTTTCGCCCCCCCCCCCCCAAGCGGTGTTCTTTTTTATACAAAGTCAGCTTATTGCCCCCACAATCCGGGTCCTCATTTTACCTACCTCGAAAGGATGGAAGGCTGAGTCAACCTTGAGCCTGGTGAGATTTGAACTTGCAGTAATTGCAGGCAGCTGGTGCTACTTAACAGCACTTTAGTCTGCTGCGCCACCAAGGCGTTTTAAAGTCAATTATTTTCTTCTTTCCCTTTTCTTTCCTCTTTGCCTGGGCTATATGAAAATCTCCAGGGAAATATAGTAATAATCTAAGATATATAATATACAAACATACACAGAAAAACAGATTATATTTGTTTGAAAAGCAGCAAATAACAGCAGGGGAATAACGCTGCCTCCGACCTCTGGTGCTACCAAGAAGCATTCAGTATAATCTTTATTTATTTCTGTGGGCCTCTGTCCAACAAGCAGCTTGGGTTCATGCCTTAAATCATTGCAATCTGTATTGGACTGTGGCTTGATTCGCTGTACTAACTTGGCTGCTCCTATTTGTAATGGGTAGCTTATAGCTTAGTAAAATGCAGTTTAGTTAACAAGCCGTGTCCACATCTATGACAATAGAATAATGGATCTGGAAAGGACCTTGGAGGTCATCTAGTCCAACCCCCTGCTTAGGCAGGAAACCCTACACCACTTCAGACAAATGGTTATCCAACATCTTCTTAAAAACCTCCAGTGTTGGAGCATTCACAACTTCTGAAGGCAAGTTGTTCCACTGATTCATTGTTCTAACTGTCAGGAAATTTCTCCTTAGTTCTAAGTTGCTTCTCTCCTTGATTAGTTTCCAGCCTTTGCTTCTTGTCCTGCCCGCAGGTGTTTTGGAGAATAGCTTGACTCCCTCTTCTTTGTGGGAGCCCCTGAGATATTGGAAGACTGCTATCATGTCTCCCCTAGTCCTTCTTTTCATTAAAGTAGACATACCCAATTCCAGCAACCGTTCTTCATATGTTTTAGCCTCCAATCCCCTAATCATCTTTGTTGCTCTTCTCTGCACTCTTTCAGTGCACTCTGCACTATGTTCTAGGATAACATGAGAATGGAGTTTATGTATCCAACCCCACTGAGACATTAGCCCCACGAGCTACTAGTCCCCTAAAGAGTACGACACTAGTACTTGGAAGTCAGACACCAAGTTGGTTGAAGTTCTGCTATGATTGTTTTTGGATTCTTCCCCATTTTTAAAGCCACTCTGAAGCTTTATGAATCGGGATTTGTTCTGTCTTAGACATTTTCTGTATGTTTTGTTTGTGTAGGTCAGTCTGCCAATGATGGTGTCGGCCCTGCAGAACCAGAATTCATTGCATATATATTCTGGATATTTCCTTCCTTCAGTTTCTAAATTCAATATTTATATTCTGACTAATTCCTTCCTTGTATTTTTTAAAAACTCAGCATTTATACTCCTTTGCAATTCCTTGTAACGTCCCTTCCCCCTCATCTCCCTTTTAGCTCTGCTTCTGAATACCGGTAGTCCTTGACTTACGACCACAATGGAGCCCAATGTTTATGTTGTTAAGTGAGACATTTGCTAAGTGAGTTTTGTCCCTATTTTGCGACCTTTCTTGCCACAGTTTTTAAGTGAATTGCTTCCGTTGTTAAGTTAGTCACACGGTTGTTAAGTGAATCTGGCTTCCCCGTTGACTTTGCTTGTCAGAAAGTCGCAAAAGAGAATCCCATGAAAACTTCAGCCGTCATAAATATGTGAGTCAATTGCCAAGCATCCGAATTTTGATTACGTGACCATGCGGACGCTGCAATAAGTGTGAAAAATGGTCATAAGTCACTTTTTTTCAGTGCCGTTGTAACTTTGAACGGTCACTAAATGAAACTGTTGTAAGTCGGGGTTATCTGTAATTCCCCCTGCCCCGTTTCACATGTAGCTTTCCTTTCAGGAGTAAATCCTGCCGGGGCTACATTGATTGCGATAACTTCACATTCAGGAATTGCTCTGGGCGCGATTAATCCGTGGCATTGCCCTTTTTCTCTTCTAGAACCTCGGAGAAGCTTCTTCTTCTTCTCAGTACAAAGGCGAGATAGTGGTATCCTTGAAGTTCATCCCACCAGCTAAACATCTCAGTGCAGGAAATGGGAAGAAAGGTGAGGGCTCAGAATGTTTAAACAGCTTTTCCTTGGATGAAACAACAAAAAACGAAAAAAAAATCATTTGTGCCTGGAGGCTTCGTTTCTCATTAGCTCCAGATGTTCAAAGAACAAAGCTTTTCTTTTCCCCTGAGATGGAGAAAGCTTGACCTATTTGATGATGGAAGATAGCTTTTTTAGGTTTCAGATTTTATAGCGGGGTTAGTTAGGGGTGTACCGTATTTTTCGGACTATAAGACGTACCTGACTATAAGACGCACCTAAATTTAGAAGAAGAAAACAAGAAAAAAAAAGTTTTTGGCCTCCGAGTACTCCATTTTCGGGCCTTTTTTTGCCCTTTTCCAGCCTTTTTTTTTTTTAAAGCCTGTTTTTGAGGCTTTTTTCAGCCCGTTTATGGGGCTTTTTTCAACCCGTTTTTGAGGCTTTTTTTTGGTCTGTTTTTGAGGCTTTTTCCAGGCCATTTTCAAGGCTCGTTTCAACTGTTTTCAAGGCTTTTTCCGGCCCAATTTTTTTTTGGCTTTTTTTGGTCCGTTTTTGAGGCTTTTTCCAGGCCATTTTCCAGGCTTTTTTCAACCTGTTTTCAAGGCTTTTTTCAAGCCCATTTTTTGGGCCCGTTTTTAAGGCTTTTTTTCAGCCTGTTCTTGAGGCTTTTTCCAGCCATTTGTTTGGCTTTTTTCGGCCCATTTTCAAGGGTTTTTTTTTGACCCAGTTTTTCCAAAAATCTGGGCCAAAAAAGCCTCAAAAAAATCCCTGAAAACGGGCCCAAAAAAGGCCTGATAAAGGTTGAAAAAAGGCCCGAAAACGGGCCGTACGAAGGCCAAAAAAACAAAAAACAAAAACCGGCCAGCAGGTGGGCAGGGCTTCGGCAATACTCAGTCTATAAGACGGACAGACATTTTCGCCCCCTTATGGAAAACAAAAAAGTGCGTCTTATAGTCTGAAGAATACGGTAAATACTCCCCTGGGTCAAGGAAACTCTTTTTGGATGGTTTTATTTTGGGGTTGTCACCCTTCTCATTAAGGTCTTTTGTTAGGCAAAAAGGAAGAAGGCGGTGAACTTCAGGTCTGGATCAAAGAAGCCAAGAACTTGACTGCAGCCAAATCCGGCGGGATGTCGGACAGCTTTGTCAAGGGGTGAGCAATGGAGAGAGGCTTTTAAATGAGTGCTGAATAGAAAGGAAGTGAGAGATTGGAGCGGTTGTCCTCAGCATTGACCTGTGTGTAGTGGGTGCCTGGTTATAAGTTACATAACTGTCACAGTCTGCACTGCACCATGGTCAAATGTTTGAATGAATGTCCTTGGCTCAAGGCTGTGTAAACTGTGGAATATTGGAACGGAAAACAAAAATCTGATTCCTGTTTTAATAAAAAGGCACACACCAGGACTGTGTCCTTACACAAATTATGCAGATAGTTTCTTTCTGTTTGCTTTTGCTAGTAAAAGGCTGGATGAACAAGTTATGAAAAATATCCTGTTCTCTAAGCATTGAGAAGTTTCTCTTCAGGGTCTTAAGGACGAGCGGTGTGTTGTTGCTGGAGCTGAACTTCTCAAGAAGATCCATTCTGTTCTGCCCCACAGTTCTGGGTCAACTAGTTTTGGGAAGTGCGGGTGTCGGCAACCCATGGCTCCGGAGCCGCATGTGGCTCTTTCATCCCCCTGATGTGGCTCCCTGTAAGCTGAACCCACCACTGGCTGGCCACGCCCCTCGCCCTCACCTTCCAGTCACTCCTCGCCTGGCCTGAGAGAGACAGATGAGAGAGAAAGAGAGATGAGAGAGAGAGAGAGAGGGAGAAAGAGACAGAGACAGAGAGAGAGAGAGAAAGAGACACACATACACAGAGAGAGCGAAAAAGAGAGAGAAAGAATGAGAGAGAGGGAGGGAAAAAGAGAGAGAGAGAAAGAAAGAGAGAGACAGACAGGCAGAGAGATAGAAAGAGACAGAGAGAGAGAAAGAAAAAGAGAGAGAGAGACACACACAGAGAGAGATACCTGTTTCCCACAGAAAACACTGGGAGCTACAGAACCTGGGTAGGCATGGCTGGGGTGTGTGTCATGTGACTGGGTGGGAGTGAGTGACGTTGAGTTGGCCACACCCACCCAGGTTTTGTGACTCCCGGTGTTTTCTTTTCTGTGGGAAACTGGTCCAAATGGCTCTTTGAGTGTGTAAGGTTGCAGACCCCTGGGCAAGTGTAAGAGCCTTTTTCACAAATGAGCACCGACTCCTTCCTGTCCACAGGAATTTGCTCCCTCTGAAGAACAGGACAGCAAAGAAGAAGACCCCCGTGGTGAAGAAGAGTCTGAACCCTCACTACAATCACACGCTGGTCTACAATAACATCTTTGCGGAGGATTTGTACCACATCTGTCTGGAACTCACAGTGTGGGACCGAGAGCCTTTGTCCAGCAATGATTTCTTGGGTGGCGTCCGGCTTGGAGTTGGCAACGGTGAGAGGTCACGTGATCGAAATTCAGACATTTGACAGCTGGCATGTATTTACGACAGTTGCAAAGTCCCAAGGCCATGTGATCACTTGACAAGCAAAGTCTCACGGGGAAGCCAGATCCACTTAGCAACCATGTTACTCTACCTGTACTACAAGGACTGATTTCTCTCAGTCAGTCCATTCAGAATTGAGTGGTGCGATGGCCTAGAGGTGGCGCTGTCGCCTCACAATCAGGAGGCTGTGAGTTCGATCCAGATATTTTTCTCTCTGGGCACACTGAGAATACATCTGCTGAACAAAACTCCGCATTGGCGACAAGGAAGGGCATCCGGCCATGAAACACTCTGCTAGCTCCATTCAGTTGCCCAGACTCCACCCCACAGGGGATTATGGGGTCATTAAAAGAAAGAAGATGAACCAATCCGAATAGAGCTGGAAGGGATTTTACAGGTCTTGTAGTCCATCCACCTGTTCGAGCAGGAGACCCTATGCCATTCTGAACAAATGGTTGTCCAATCTCTTCTTAAAAACCTCCAGTCTTCTGAAGGCAACTTCTGTTCCATTGGTTAATTGTCCTCACTGTTAGGAAGTTTTTCCTTCATTCCAAATTGCTTCTCTCCTTGATTAGTTTCCACCCTTTGTTTCTGGCCTTGCCTTCTGGTGCTTTAGAAAATAAGCGGACCCTCCATCTTCTTTGTGGCAGCCCCTCAAATACTGGAATATGGCTATCGTGACACCCCTTGTCCTTTTTTGTTTCTCATTTATTTGAAAAATAAGAGCCCTTCGTGTTTTGAAAAAGACCTACTTTTTAAAATAATAAGCCCCCCTAGTCCTAGGTAGGGACGCGGTGGCTCAGTGGTTAATATGCTGAGCTTGTCGATCGAAAGGTGGGCAGTTCAGCAGTTTGAATCTCTAGTGCCGCGTAACGGGGTGAGCTCCTGTTACTTGTCCCAGCTTCTGCCAACCTAGCAGTTCGAAATCACCTAAAAAATGCAAGTAGAAAAACAGGGACCACCTTTGGGTGGGAAGGTAACAGCGTTCCGTGTGCCTTTGGCGTTGAGTCATGCCGGCCACATGACCACGGAGACGTCTTCAGACAGCGCTGGCTCTTCAGTTTTGAAACGGAGATGAGCACCGCCCCCTAGAGTCGGGAACGACTAGCACATATATGCGAGGGGAACCTTTACTTTTACTAGTCCTTTATCTGTTCAGGATCCTTTGTCTCCTCTTTAATCCTTCCTTTCGCTTTCTGCAGGAATGAGTAACGGCCAAGCAGTCGATTGGATGGATTCCACGGGCGAGGAGATAAACCTGTGGCAGAAAATGCGCCAGTACCCAGGATCTTGGGCCGAAGGGACCCTTCCTCTTCGGGCCACCATGATCAAGACGAAGCCGTAATTTTGTCCCCGCTTGCTTGGACAATCAAAATCTGGGGGAATAAAAGAGGCGGGTAATCTGGAGAGCTGGCCCCAAAACTGTCCAGATCGCTTACCACAGGAGCTCATTTTGCAACAGCTGTTCAGACAGGCTCCTTCTAAAGAAGGGAATATATTCTGGCCAGCTGTTTTATTTCGGAGATTCGTACTTTTTTTGCAATATTGTTGGTGCTCGAGCTCTTTTCGGCGTCTCAAAGTGCCTTTTAATTTCCCTCCCCCCCTGTTCTTTTCTTCTCCTTCCTGCTCCCTTTCCTGTGCTGTCCTCGTTTTTGTTTTGTTTTTTTAAAGCCCTTTGGGTGTAAGCTGTATTTGTACATCCGGTTTTAAATGTCACTGCTGCCTTCTTTCTTTGTCAGCAGGAAAGGGTCATTGAAATAAAGTTCAAATCCATCCTGCAGAAGCTGCAGGAATTCAACCAGTCTTGAAACCGCGGATACCGTAGGGCCCTGGAAGTTGCATTTCAAAGTGTCTACTCTAAGTTGGAAGCAGCAGAATGGAGCTAATCACATTCATCTGCGTATTTTTTTTCCACTTACGAGGAAAAGCTTCTGGTGCTGGAAGTGGGGGAAGGATGTCTAAAATTACATGAATAAGAAGAAGACACGGCAAGAAGTCTGTTTTTTCTTGCATGCTGCCCAAATCTGGAATTATCTGTGGAAGGGAGAATAGCGGAGGAGGATCCAAGGCAGGATCTGTCCTTCGAAAGGGCAGTTCAGGGTTGATTTCCCTTGAGGAAGCTTGTAGGAACACACATACACAGACACAAACACTTCTTTATATATATATATATATATACACACACACACACATACATATATATATATACATATATATACATATATATATACATATATATTCTTTGAAGTGGCCTAGACTGTTTTTAATCGAGGATTAAAGAATGCCAGGGGAGACATCCTCTGGTTGCCACATGTTAGGTTTCCAACATCTTCAAACCCGGCCAGCATGGCAGATGTTGAAGACTTCAGGAGGCGCAGAGTTACCTAAAAGAGCAGAAGGGTCTCAATTGTTCCTTTTGTGTTTACATTAAATTAAATAGCCATAGCACTTAGACTTATATATCGCTTCACAGTGCTTCACAGCCCTCTCTAAGCGGTTTACCAGAATCAGCATATTGGCCCCAACAATACAGGTTCTCATTTTACCCACCTCGGAAGGATGGAAGGCTGAGTTAACCTTGTCAGGATCAAACTGCTGGCAGTGAATTGAATTAGCCTGAAATACTAGATTCTAACTACAGGGAGGGAGGGAGGGAGGGAGGGAGGAAGGGAGGGAGGAAAGGAAGGAAGGAAGGAAGGAAGGAAGGAAAGAAGGACAATAGCAATAGCACTTAAGATTTATATACTGCTTCACAGTGCTCTACAGCCCTCTCTAAGCAGCTTACAGAGTCAGCCTATTGCCCCAACAATCTGGGTCCCCATTTTATTGACCTCGGAAAGATGGAAGGCTTAGACAACCTTGAGTTGGTCAGGATTGAACTCCAGACTGTAGGCAAAGTTTGCCTGCAATATTGCACGAAAACCACTGCACCACCGGGGCTCCCAGCCCTCTTAAAAATGGATTTATTTGATTTTTGGATTTATTTGATTTTTAACCTGCTTCAGTCTTGTGATACAGAGCAGTTGCAACATCGGAATAAAGACAACCGAATTAAAACAGCATAACAAGCCAAATCTCCCAAGCAATGAGAAATAAATAACAAGAGGCACAGGTGAAGTTATTGAAATGTGCTTTTACAAAAGCGCTCGTTTTTCATAACTTCCTAAAAAATTACCAGGGGAGGGGGAGGAGGTCAGTCTGATCTCTGGGGAATCCTTGCTATGCTGTTGGTGCCACTCAGAAGAAGCATGTTAGAAAGGTGGAGCTACAAGGAGCCTCCCTTCTGCATTGGGTTTCTTCTGTCTGTTGCCTTGGTGTTCTCATAGCAAAATAGGCACCTGTATATAGTTGGGGTGTGGTGGCTCAGTGGCTAAAACGCTGAGCTTGTCGATCGGAAGGTCGGCAGTTCAGCGGTTCGAATCCCGAGTGCCGCGTAACGGGGTGAGCTCCCGTGACTTGTCCCAGCTTCTGCCAACCTAGCAGTTTGAAAACATGTAAAAAATGCAAGTAGAAAAAACAGGGACCACCTTTGGTTGGAAGGTAACAGCGCTCCGTGTGCCTTTGGCGTTTAGTCATGGCGGCCATATGACCACGGAGACTTCTTCAGACAGCGCTGCCTCTATGGCTTTGAAACGGAGATGAGCACCGCCCCCTAGAGTCGAGAACGACTAGCACATATGTGCGAGGGGAACCTTTACCTTTTATATAGATTTGCTTCCGTGCTTCCCACTTCTTCTCTTTGAAGGTCTCTTTCTCTGACCTCGTATTCAAGTTGCAAAACCTTTTTTAAAAATAATAAGCTTGACTATTTTAAGAATTGCAATAGCCCTTAGGCTTCTATACCGCTTCACAGTGCTTTTATAGCCCTCTCTAAGCGGTGTACAGAGTCAGCATATTGCCCCCAATAATCTGGGTCCTCATTTTACTGACCCACCTCGGAAGGATGGAAAGAAGCTGGAAGCCCTGTGATTTTAGTCTTGGTTCACCTCTGATTGGAGAGCTCAAAACTCAGGAATGTTGGTTTTTATTTGACCAGGATGGTAGGTGAAAACATGGTAGTCTGTTCGTTTGTAATTAAGCTAACTTAATTTTTGGTGAGCCGTATTTTTTGGGCATGCCCCCAAAAAAGAGCCAAGCTAAGAAGAGAACAGAAAGGACAATTCAGAAGATCTTGTTCTTCACCAGTTATCTCAACGATATCCTTGCTAGAGCTGGTCTTGCGCTGAAGTGCTGTAGATGTGAAACCACAACTCTGGAAATCCTTAGTCATGCTTGGCTTGAGGTTGACGGGAACTGGAGACCAAACCCATCAACTTCCTGCTTTATAAGGGGAAGAAATTTATGATCCAGGCAAAAAGAGTCTTTAGTGCTCTTTATGGGAAAACAATGTACATTTGAGAAAGCATCTCCTTTGGAATAGTGTCTCCAAGATTGATAAGATATTAACCAGGCCACGAGAATGCTCTGCTTCCTTTCCTGATCTTGTAGGATCAGAAAAAAAACTACTTCTGCCACCTTGACTGAAATCCAACTGTTGCTTTTCGGGTTTCACCTCTAACCACCTTGGCTAATGTGAAACAAGACCCTTGGGTTGACATCGGTGGCCGAAGGCAGCCAGGCAGTTCCTTCTCAGTCGCACATGTCCCTGTTATGTTCTTGCTGTAACTGTTCCTGGGGACTCAGCAGGTACATATCCACGAAGGAGAACAGCTCATCAGGCGTCACTGGCTGGATGTAGCGATCACGGTCTACGCCGTCTTTGTCAATCAACACTACGCTGAAGCGAGAATGACTGAGGTGCAGGAGCTGCCTGCAGAAATAAGGTTTCAAAAAATATATATATATTGATTAGGGCTCTTTTGCTCAATTAACATTTAGAGAAGATAGCAATAGCACTTAGACTTATATACCGCTTTACAGTGCTTTACAGCCTTCTCTAAGCGGTTTACAGTCAGCCTATTGGCCCCAACAATCTGGGTTCTCATTTTACCCACCTCGGAAGGATGGAAGGCTGAGTCAACCTTGAGCCTGGTGAGATTCGAACTGCCAAATTGCAGGCAGCCGGCAGTCAGCAGAAGGAGCCTCCAGTACTCCACTCTAACCACTGCACCACAGTGGCTCATCAGCAAAAAATCAAGAGAAGATGATGCATGCAAAATTCAATTGCTGGGTGGGAGAAGGTCTCAGGCCTGGCTAACTTGTTCCTCTTGTCAAGCAGTGCCTGCAGGCTGTGCCAAATCTCTGCCTTATCCTCCACAAATCTGCCTTACCTGATTTTTTTTTTTTAGGTTAAAGGCAAGTTGAACCTCTGGATGGGTTGCTCTCTAAAACAGTGTTTCTCAACCGTGGCAACTTTTAAGATGTGTGGACAGCACAGAATAGATGGACATCCTAGACATGCCGGCTGGCATGAAGTCTACATCTCTTAAAGTTGCCAAGGCTGAGAAATACTACTCTAAAGCAGGGATCTCCAACCTTGGCAACTTTAAGCCTGGAGGACTTCAACTCCCAGCTTTGCTGGCTGGGGAATTCTGGGAGTTGAAGTCCTCCAGGCGTAAAGCTGCCAAAGTTGCTGGTCTAAAGCAATGAGCAGGACTAGAGCAAAAGTAAGACTGTGCCTAGTTTTGGAGAGCCAGATGTGGTTCTGGAGTGGTCATCTCACTTCAACTTTCCTCACTATTATCTGGTGACAGGGAGTTCCATAAGTTGATTACACCATATGCGTTGGAATCCTTGATGGTCTCTGAGCTTGGTGGTTTTCCTGCAGACATTTCATTACTCAACTAGGGAACATCTGAAGAACATGTGAAGATGTTACTTAGCTGGGCAAGGAAACATCTGCAAGGAAACAACCAAGCTCGGAGAGCACCAAGAACTCACAGTTTAACCTTGAGCTACAGATACTTGCTTCTGTTCATACTATGAAAGCTTTTTGATTATGATCACTTTTCCTGATAACTTGAAGGAGGGCGAATGAGATTTCTAATTGGTTCCTGTGGCTATAAAGGACGTAGCTTATTGTAGTTTGGTTTCCACTCACCTCAGTTCTTCCACTATCTTTTTGGAGAGTTGGAGCTCCCGGATCCGCCCCACATCACGAGGTGGCAAACCCACCAGTTCAATCACAGTCATGTGACGCATGTCCAACCCACAAGTTGCTTGCTGCAATGGAGAAACAAAGAATACAGCTAGGAAGTGCCTGGTAGCTGTGGAGGACAGCAGGGACTGGGGGAAGAGAATAGAATGATAGGGCTGGAAGGGACTTTGTGTTGTGGCCGGTCAGCAGCCTGTGCAGCTAGTAGCTGATTCCAACAGCGAGGAGGCTGGTGTGGTGCTGCGCCAGCAGCCTGTGCAGCTGGCACTCGAGTCGGACAATGAGGTGGCTGGAGAAGATGTGGTGCCAGAGGCGGGGATTCAGCCAGGACCTTCAGAACCTCCAGAAGCTCCCTTAAGTGAAGAGGACGAAGAGGAGGAGTCTCTTCTTGATGCACAGGCACACAGAGCTGCCAAAAGGCAGGAGTGGCGGCTCCTCAGGAGGAGGTCTCCTCGAGAGTAAGGCTTGGGGCTAATTGGCCACTCCCTTAGCCTATTTAAGGAAGAACGCCGACTGAAGCAATTTGCAGGGAACAACTCTGTTCACATACCTTCGTGTCTTGTCTTGCTTATTTTATCAGCTTCCTGCAAATTGCTTCTGGGCATTCTGCCAGCCACAGTAAGCTTTCAGTATTATTCTTTGAATTCTTGGTGGCTGTTAATGCAGTTAATTAACAGCCGTTGTTGTAAAAAAAACTGGTTTATTTAGTAAACTAAGGTTTGAACCGACTTTGTGTGTGCTGCGTTCTTTGGGGTCCATAGCTGGGGCAGAACACCTAGGAGGTCTTGTAGTCCTACCCCCTGGTCAGTCTTACTTGCAACATGGCATTCTGCATCTTATAGTAGCGGTCTGAGGAGTCGGGAGACGAGACGACCAGCAACCGGCGCTTTTCATAAAACTGATCCAAAAGGCCCATGACAGAGTTGATGTCCACATTGATTTGCATGGCTTCGGGGAAAAGAGGACAAAGCAGAGATTGATTCTTTGGTTCCTGGAGATTCTCAGTCATCCCTGTCATAGATGTCCCAAAAGTGCTTTTTTTCAAGAGGCAACTGGACTTTCTTGGTTTTTCTTTTGAACACATTTCACTTCTCATCTAAGAAGCTTCTTCAGCTCTGCTCCTTCAGCTTCTCTGAAGAAGCTTCTTGGATGAGAAGCGAAACGTCTTCAAAGAAAAACCAGAAAGTCCAGTTGGTTCTTGAAAAAAAAAGCATCTTTGGGATTCTTTGGTTCCATTTCATTTTTTTCTTCCACTGTTCCATGTCAGTTATCTGAAGGGCTCTAATCCTGGCATCCAAACATGTTTTACTAACTGCTGTGTTGAAAGAAATAAGGAAGGAAGGAAGGAAGGAAGGAAGGAAGGAAGGAAGGAAGGAAGGAGGGAAGGAAGGAAGGGCAATAGCACTTAGACTTATATACCGCTTCACAGTGCTTTACAGCTCTCTCTAAGCGGTTAACAGAGTCAGCCTCTTGCCCCCAACAATCTGGGTCCTCATTTTACTGACCTCAGAAGGAGGGAAGGCTGAGTCAACCTTGAGCCTGGTGAGATTTAAACTGCCAAATTGCAGGCAGCCGGCAGTCAGCAGAAGTAGCCTGCAGTACCACACTCTAACCACTGTGCCACCGTGGCTCAGGAAAGCTTTTGTGGGAAAGCAACCCCAAAGCCCACAGTTGTTTGCTAGTGGCGGTTTAGTGTTGACTTGTCCAACAAACCATTTTTAATTTTTCAAAAAAAAAAAGCACGAGTCGGCAGGATGAGTGAAATTCGATCCTTTTGGCACCAGCAATTTTGGCTCGGCTTGATTGCTTTTCCGATTATCAGAACTTTACTGCATCAGAGTAAAAGAGGAAAGCCGCATCCGAGCTGGATACAGGGGGTCTTAAAAATGAATCACCAAGAGCCCTTTGTGTCCTTCGGCATGCCCCCCTCCCCCGTCTCAAATCCCAGATTCACTCACGGGTACACCTGGCCTGAGAACTAGACCACTGGCGGCTGGACTGGCAGACCCGTGAATGGGCACCCTCTAGCTCGTAGCCTCCGTTGCACTGGTATTCGCAGACAGCACCATAATTGTTCCCTGCTGAAGTGCAGCTGAGATAACCATGTTCGGGCGCCTTCAAGGTGGGACAGCGACTCACTGGAGAAGGGAAAGTCAGTGATCTCGAATGAGAAAGATTCTTTGGTTCAACAAAACCCAACCCTTGGAAACCCTTGGAGAAGCGGTAGAGATGCCTTTCCAGATAGTTACAGGCAACTCCCGGTAAAAGTAAAGATTCCCCTCGCACATATGTGCTAGTTGTTCCCGACTTTAGGGGGCGGTGCTCATCTCCGTTTCAAAGCCGAAGAGCCAGCGCTGTCCGAAGACATCTCCATGGTCATGTGGCCGGCATGACTCAATGCCAAAGGCGCACGGAACGCTGTTACCTTCCCACCAAAGGTGGTCCCTATTTTTCTACTTGCATTTTTTACGTGCTTTCAAACTGCTAGTTTGGCAGAAGCTGGGACGAGTCACGGGAGCTCACCCCCGCGGCACTAGGGATTCGAACTGCGAAAAATGGGCCTGCCGGAAGTTTGGGAAGGCCAGAAATGGGCCTCCGGAGCCTGGGGAGGTCGTTTTCGCCCTCCTGGAGCTCGAGGAAAGCCTCCAGAGCCCGGGAAAAAACACCCCCCCCGCCGTGGTGTAGGAGGCCACTTAGGCCACACCCACCATGGCCTCATCCACCCAGCAACCAGGCAGAAAACCCCTTGCTAAAAATTTTGAAGCCCACCCCTGGAAAAGGGGGAATCCTGTCAAATCTTAGAGCATGTTTCTTTTAGGGTGTTTAGACAACAGTTGCTGTCTTGTTCCTTACCTCGGACCCTCACCAAAAATTTGCACGTGGCCCGATTGTGCGCCTGGTCATAGACAGCATAGCGAATAAGATGTTCTCCTTCTGAAAACTCGGATCCTGGTTCTGGGCCCCGACGTTTCAGTCTGGACTCCCAACGACAGAGAGACTTTTTAGCATAGGAGATCACAGAGTAGACTTCCTTCAACCCTTCAAAGTTCCCATTGAGCTCACTTTTTGATGATGCCGTCAGCAGAATCCTTTGCGCGGGGTGGATCCCAGTAAACGATGGCCGTCAGTTTGCCAGGCTCTGCTATTCGCTCTCGAGAATCCGGACACCGGATTTGAGGAGGCTCTATGTCTGTTTGGGAAAACGGGAGAAGAATTTTATGGAAAGGAGCAGCAAAAGAATTGCTCATTATTTCCCTGCTGTTTCAATACAAAGACACCTGGTTTACTGACTGCCTGTTTAGCAGTTAAATGGCAAGTTGAGATCACCTCTCACTTAATGACCCGCAGTGAATTGCTTAATGACTGAATGGGACGTGGCATCAATCTATCACATCTATCAACCTATCCTGGGATGTTTTGCTCAGTGACCACATCATTAGTCCCAATTGTGGTTATGAGGATTACCTGTACCCTGAGCAAAGGAATGGTGTCTTGATGGTTTTGCAGCTCTCCCCAATGACAAACACTTAGATATTTTGTTTTTTTAAAAAGGCAAATAAGAACAAATATTGCTAGGTAGGACAATGTGAATGTTGGGCCTCTTGGGTAAGGGAGCAGATCCAGCAGCTGCCTCATATGGTGTTTTTGAGGTTGGTGCTTTTAAGGATGACCATGGTCAACTCAAAGCTGTTTTAGTGGATTTGGAGAGCACAAGAGAGATAGTAATGTTGTACTACTAACTAGAGCATACAAAACATTTGCTGGACCAATTCTTGAATACAGCTCATCTGTCTGGAACCCGCACTGCATATTGGACATAAATACAATCGAGAGAGTCCAGAGATATTTTATGAGAAGAGTCCTCCATTCCTCTAACCGCAATAAAATACCTTATGCCACCAGACTTCAAATTTTGGGCTTGGACAACTTAGAACTATGCCGACTTCAGTCTGACCTAAGCATAGTACATAAAATTATCTGCCACAATGTCCTTCCTGTCAATGACTACTTCAGCTTCAACCACAACAATACACGAGCAAATAATAGATACAAACTCAAGGTAAACCGTTCCAAACTCGATTGCAGAAAATGTGACTTCAGTAACAGAGTGGTCAATGCCTGGAATGCACTATCTGACTCTGTGGTCTCTTCCCCAAACCAGCTAAACCCGCCTACCCGCCCTGGCACTATCACATCCTATATACTGTATTTTTTGGAGTATAAGACGCACCTTTTTCCTCCAAAAAAGAGGGTGAAAATCTGAGTGCGTCTTATACTCCGAATGTAGCCCTGCCTAACTTCTCAAACGGAGATTTATTTCAGAGGCTGAAAAAAGCATCAGAAAAGAAGCTTCAGAAAAAAAGCCTCCCAAACAGAGCTTCAGAAAAAAAGCCT